GGACAAGCAGAAATGTTGCACGCATAAAGTACCGCCGAACAATTGGAAAAGTTGATGACGGCAAACGGGAGGACGATGGTTCGGTGGTGCACACTAGCTATAGTTGGTTGGAACAGGAGCGTCGAAAACACAGGCACTAGGACGGCGGACAACGGCGCAATGCGGACGTAAGCTGCAGCAAACACTTTCGAGGGACTGTGGTGGTCGATATCAAGGCACGGATTCGTCAACGTGAGTTCAGCACGAGCGCAGTCGACGAGAGCCTGATTTGTAGAAAGGAAATCGCATCCTAGTATGACGTCGTAAGATGAACGTGGGAGAACAACAAAGTTGACGGCGTGCCAAACATCTTGAATAAGAACGCGTGCTGTGCACTGAGCCGTCGGGGCGATGAAATGGGAGGTGGCTGTACGCAGAGCAAGATTCGTAAGCGGCGTTGTAACTTTTCTCAAATCGCGACACAGTTTTTCACTAATTACAGATACGACGGCGCCTGTGTTGACAAGTGCACGTACAGCAACACCTTCTACTAGCACAACAATTTCGTTGGGCGGACAAAGAGGAGGTCTTGAAGAGTTCGACGACGACGCAGTTCTTGCTCCCGGAACTGCGGCTGTCAGTTTTCCTCTAGAGCGGGGCTCGTGCGCCGAATCATCGAGGAGACAGATCGGCGACGGGGTGGTAATGATTGGCGAGAATCGACAGGGCGTCGTGGGGACAATGAGTCGGCGATAGGGGAAGATGGTCGCTGGGGATTCTGGGCAGCCTGGTAATTTGCAGAATTCCCATGGTCTGGAGGCTGGAAGTTGCGATGGTGACAGTAGCGTGCTATATGTCCCACGAAACCACATGCAAAACAGATGGGTCAATTATCCAAGGTGCGCCATGGGTTAACGACAGAAGGCGCAGGGGGCGAAACAGGATGGGGTGCCGTGTATGTAGGCAGCGTCATAGGGTAGGAGGACCCGGTGCCCCGGTATGCGCCAGAGACAGGTGGGGCTGGGGGTCTAGCAACGACGGCAGCATAGGTCAGCGGCGTAGGGACAGATGGCGATGGAGGCAGTGCCTGCGTGACCTGTGTCTCAATGACCTGGCGTAGACGTGGGTCTAACGAGGTCATTGGCTCGGATGCTTCGGCCACAAGAGAAAGCTGACGCGCAACTTCTTCACGAATGAATTGGTTGATGTAGGGTAGTAAGACGGTGTGATCAGCAGCGACGTCATCCGTAAACTTCATCCGTATCTTCAGCAGCCCTGCGCGTCGAGACACGCTGCTTACGCAACTCGTCGTACTCCTGACAGAGCTGGACAACATCGGTGACGATCTGTCGATTCCTAGCGACGAGCATCTGGAAGGTATTGTCGTCAACTCCTTTGATGATGTGCTTGATTTTGTCGCGTTTGGTTAGAGATTTATCGGCGCGCTTGCAAAGAGACAAGACATCTTCAATGTAACTTGTAAAGGTCTCGTCCCTGCGCTGGACTCAACTACGGAGACGCTGTTCCGCGCGAAGCCGGCGCACGGCGGGATGACCAAAGACCGCAGCGATGGTGGTCTTGAAGGTGGACCGGTTGGTGATTTCACCTTCGTGGTTCTTGAACCAGAGGCTGGCCACATCAGCGAGGTAAAAGCGCACGTTTGTGAGCTGGTCGCAGGCGTTCCACTTCTTGGAAGCGCTTACGATTTCGTACTCGACGAGCCAGTCCTCGACGTCTTGTTCGTCGTTGCCGCGAAAAATTGGTGGGTCGCGTTACCGAGGCACGCCAGTACGGTAGACTGTCGTTGGTAAGGCAGCTTGAGAAGGGCCAGGAGCAGTCATGGTGAACGGTGAGGATAGCGTCCGATTGCGATGTTCTACGTTGATGGGAACCCCGGCTCCTCCACCACTTAAAATAGAGGTGTTGTACGTCGAGAAAGGTTCAGACGCAGCTTGGCAAAATGTGCTTTATCGGACAGGTGTGGCTAACGGCGAGCGGCGTGCGCGAGCTACTACAACAGCCATCGATCACCATCGTCTTCTTCATTACCAGCAGAGCGTCCGCTATTCAGATTCATTACAATATATATATATATATATATATATATATATATATATATATATATATATATATATATATATATATTGTGAAGAAGAAGGTGTGCCTGCGGCGAGCAGCATCGCCAACGAGCCGCCTCTATCTAGCCGTGTCCACTGCCCGCGTGTCGCACAGCCAGTAGGTGCCCCTGACGCCTATCCACCAGCGATTCAGCCTGTTGCCGCGCCCCTAACGTATGCAGCGCAGCCTGTGGCTCCTCCTGTCGCCTGTTCGCAAGAGATGCAGCCCGTAGCCGCCCCGCTCACATATGCAGACGCTGTGCGTAGGCTTCCGCAACCACCCTACACCATGCGCTCACAGCGCGCACACCCGGCTGCTTATACTACACCTTGGGCAGCACCACCAGTCGCCGATCCATGGAAGACGCCCGATAACCGACCGATTTGCTACGCCTGCTCCACTCCTGGACACGTTGCCCGCTACTGCCGCCGTCGACCTCAGACGTTCGGCAACTATGCCCGGTCGTCGCAACCCGGCAGCGGTGCGGATGGTACCGACATGGAAGACTGGCTTGAGCACTACGAGCTGGTGAGCGCCAATAACAAGTGGGATGAAGCCGACAAGCTCGGCCATGTCATATTTTATCTCACCGGCGTCGCAGAATTGTGGTTTAACAACCACAAACACAACATCTCCACATAAAGCGTCTTCAAGACGTCATGTGCTGAAGTGTTTGGTCGGCCGGCTGTCCGCAAGCAGCGGGCAGAACAGTGCTTGCGCGTCTGCTCTCAGCAGACTGGCGAAAATTTCACCAGCTATATTGAGGATGTCGTCGACCTTTTTCGACGCGCGAATGACACCATGCCCGAGTCGGACAAAGTCAAACACATCCTGAAGGGCATCGACGATGGCGCATTTCAAATGCTCTTGGCTAGAAATCCGAGCACAGTTCTGAAGTCGTCAGCTTATGTCAGAGCTACGACGAGTTGAAGAAGCAACGCTCTCTGACTCGCCAACCTCAGTGTGGTGGTGAGTCGCTGTCCAGTTTCGACACCATGCCTGACAATTCACCATTGCTTCAGCAAGTCCGAGCCTTCGTCCGTGAGGAAGTCGCCCGCCAACTTTCTCTAGTGCCTTTTGCTCACGAGACCACCACCCGTCTACCCAGCGCCACCACAAAATGTGACGAGGTTTATTAGTCGATAACGACAACGGCAAAACAGCGTGAAGAACCGTCCAGCAGAGATCAGCACAGCAGCGAGCCGAAGTACGAGCCGGGCGTTGGCGATGCTGCTCGCCACAGGCACATCTTCTTCTTCACAATATATATATATATATATATATATATATATATATATATATATATATATATATATATATATATATATATATATATATATACATACACACAAACACACATAAACACTCAAAATAAAAAGAAAAGCCCCAGCTCGTCGCCGTGCGCCGACGCGTGCTTATCTTTCATGCGTACTTTGCCCCACGGTTAGGGGGGGAGGGAAATTTAGATGCTTGTGTGCGTGCACTTATCCCTTGGTGGGGAGAATCGTGTGCCTTCGGCTTTTACCGGAACGATTGCGTTAGTTGCCGGGCTCACAAAGGTCACTTCGGTCTCTGCACAGCGAAAAGAGCACGCTTTTCATACGCAGCTAGGTGTAACAACTGGGCACCTCTTAGTTTGAATTCATCAGTACCTGTGATTACGTATTGTGCATCGCTTTTGTTTAAACAGCGCGTTGCGTGTCGAGTGGTAAACATTGTTAGTTTGCTCTTGTCCTTTGAGTACCATTTTCGTGCATCATCTGTGCGAGAGCAGCGTGCTGCACGTTACGATCTGCTTGCAGTTCTCAGCGTGGCACTCCAAGCTGTTGCTGTCGCATTCATTGCTTTGCCGTTTTGGCAAAACTGTGACTTTTCTTTTTAACGTATTTATGGCCTTTAATCTACCGCTGCGCGCCCTCGGAGCTCGTAAATCGCTATCGCGTCGCCGCAACCGCGGTTTTGTGCGCGGTGGTTGCGGCAAACGGTAGTTCCTTTTACAATCCTCGTGCGCTGGTATGTGCAGGCGCCAAATTTGAGTCATTTTATGCGATCCAAGATTGCATCTGCAGCAGTTCTGTCCGCAGAGTTTGTGGAAAGCAGCGTTGATTTGACTGGTTGAGCGCACACTTTCGGGGTTCTGTCAGTTACGTCATCGCCATACATGATCCTGTCAGCAGTGACCGCAGTTTCGTCCACAGCAGTTGTGGCAACAATAATCACACGCGCAGTAGAAGACAGTGCATGCGCCAGTTGCACGTGTACTTCCAAAGCTTCGAGTACATTGCTCTCAGCCTTCGTTCAACGGTTCCCGCACTAAAGTTCGTATCACACACCATGATTAGGAAATGTGTTCGGAGCATTCGAATTCAGGCCCAATGGACACAGTAGAATTTGGCCTGAGATTTTCACAAATTCCTATCTGCCGCGGTTTTGGATTGCTGATATTCTAAAGTACGTTTATACGAACTCTCTTAAACTCGTAATAAAATGAGGTAGGTTCAAAAAGCCTTGAGCAGACTGAGCTGCTTTTTTGCCAATGCGGCCAGATCCCGCACAGAAATTTCGATTTCCAAGACATTTTCATGACAACCGTACAAACAGAAGAAACAGTCGAAATTCGGAAGTCTTGACAGGTATGTAATTGTCAAAAGAATTGTCCTTAGACAAAAATTGTTAAAGGACAATTCTTGTCAATGTGTCCTTTGCAAGGGTCTCTTACAAACTTGTTTACATTTTCCTAATTTTTCTTTTAATGTAGGCACGCTAGTGTCTACTGGCATCTCTTATACCAAATAGTCTTTTACATCAATGTCTCTTATAAAGAGGATCAACTTCATCAGCATGAGCAAGAAACTAGCATCCTGTTCTGAGCGATGAGAGTTGAACCAGAGGACAGCTCATACCTGAATGGGTGTAAGGTGCTGGAACTGACGATGTGGATGGGGTATTATCAGCGGTTCTCGCCAAGCAGGACCTCGATATACACGCAGCTCATTTTTCTGGTCTGTGGTAAGCAGCGAGGTGCGGTCAGATGGGCTCACAAAGGCTACGATGAAAATAAAACATGCAATGAGCAACCATGCAGGATGCAGTCATTAGCTCAGTGTGCTCAGTGCATTGGCAATTGCTGATAATTTGATATATGGGGTTTAACGTCCCAAAAACACCATATGATCATGAGATACGTCGTGGTGGAGGACTCCGGAAATTTCGATCACCTGGGGTTCTTTAACGTGCACCCAAATCTGAGCACACGGGCCTCTTTCTATACTTCTTCAAGATCTACCCAGTGATGCGGGACAAAGAGGTACCGTACTTACTCGTGTAATCCTCGCACTCGCATAATTCTCGCACCCCCCCCCTCCCCCATCGCCCAAGAAAAATACGATTTCTTTTTTTCCTCGAGTAATTATCGCACCACCGAAACTGCTTCAATAATGTCGTCTGCTCGTTCTAGCCACTGATGATGATAGCGCATGCCATCTGGCGCCATCTCGTAAGCATAAAGCGTACTATTGCACGCAGATTCAATCCAATCCAAGCCGAAGTGGCCAGTGCGCGTTGCGGCGTGTTTTGTATGCTGTGTTGGTAATCTTGTCACGTTATAGGGCGATACTGAAGCTACAGGGGTGCTTTTAAGTTGAAAGTGATTGATCATGCACTAAACAACGGCAACAGGGCCGCCGGCAGGCCTTTCGGAGCATACGAGTTTTGTGTTCGCTACTAATGACGGCAGCTCAAAGCCACCAGGACACGTTGGGCCTACCGTGGGCCTAAAACTGGGATTGATGGTAAACTTTATTTCTTCAGAAGGAAACTGCATACGATTCTGTTAAATAGCCATCAGCGCAATACTAACGTCCTACGCTTACCTTTTGAGGTCTCTTGTTGAGCGACGAACGCTACCATTATGCCCGCAACGCCCACAAGCTTTGCGTATGGTATTCTAATTCTTGACTATTTGCTTGCACTTTTTGTGTCTCAAATAGATCTTGCCTTCTGTTGAACTTCTGCTTTTATTGTTGAGGTAAGTTCTAATTAGTACTTCTTAAAGCTTGCTGTAAGTTGCTGGTGTGAGAATCCTGATTTGCGGCCACTTCGTTTTCTTTTTCGCTCTGTACGTATTCGTAGAAAGTTTTCCCCGTGTAATTCTCGCACCCTCCAACTTTGCATCAGTTTTCTGTCAAAAAAAGTGCGAGGATTATGCGAGTAAATACGGTAATTTTTAGTCATACACAGGAATCTGAGCACTTTGAATATTAAGACAAACATGAAAGTATCCAAATTCACTTTGGTACTAAATGCAATCACTGTAAGTTTTGTAGTATTCAAAACAAACACCGTATAAGTTGCATGTAGCCCCCTGTAAATGTGGCTTGACTGCAACGTAGAAATGTCATGCCGTTGAAAAACACTAAACACTCCCCCCCCCCCCCCCCACCCCCCCAACAAAAAAATCTGCACTGCAACGAAGCACCCCTAACGGTTAAATTAACATATCACCCTCGCCTCGATTAATCATTTTTAAAGTTAAAAAAGACTTTCATGTTGCTATCTCATATATGCCGAGAAATCTTCTCCCTCTTTTTACCCCCCTGTTTCGTGCTATTTCACTTCGAAGCATTTGAAAAATATTCGATTCGATTCACACTTAAAAACTTCTACATACGAATTCACACCAGGATTTTGCTATTTGCTTAGCTATACCTTTATTTCAGTTGTTCTTTGAATTAAATGAAAGGACCAAGCCCCACAAGCGCCCGAAAAATGTGCTCACAGAGTGAGATGATGTGAAAAATTAATTACGTCCTTAAAAGCTAGTTGCTACAGTTCCTTGATGCCAAGACACAATATGGGCTTGTTTCACGTGAACACGCAAGATATTGTGACATTTCCACAGCTGCTCTATCGTTTGTCCAGTGCTGCATATGTGGAAACAGTGCACAGTCGACCCATACTTGTTTCAGCCCAGGATCATGCGAAAACCTTGCGTCTCCCCACCAACCTATACCTGCTGTCCCCTGTTCGATTAGTGCAAGATTTCACAATGTGTAAGATGACAAATCAAAATAAAACGATCCCATTGCCTCGTGATCAACTTGGACTATGTATTTCGCGGGTACACGGGACACTAGAGGGCAATTTTCACTTTAACTGGTGCCTTGAACTATCGTGAGTGCATGGCATAAGCAGACGATTGAGAAAGTCATGCAAAAACAGTATCTTGCATGTTTGGTGCGCGACGTCATCCCAACTAGCCATATCAGTGCGTGAAGTCACTGGGATTGACACTGTAACTAACATCATGACAGTAGTGTCGATGTTAGTAGGTAGAGCATGTGAAGTTTACTTCAATGTCAAAATACGTCACGATTTCCCGAGCTTCACATTTACAGGTGATTTGTACAAAAAAGTGAACACAGCTTTGGAAATTAGTGCCAGTACGCCTTTAAAAAGTGTTGCTACGATCCCATTAGGTGATCACAGCTCATGAAGATTTGTGACTGTCATGTCAGGTTTCATTTTATTTTCTTTTTTTCACATGCCATGTGGAAGAAAGGACATTGGCTTTGAGCAGCAGCACTCAGCACCTAAAGAAGCTGTTACCATTCAAGCAATAGCAGCAATAGTATTGATACTAAAAATGTTGTACAGCCACAATGTTTGTTGTGTTTCATGGCACATAAGCAACCAGGTCTATCATGCACCAAACACAGCACTGCCACAATGAAACGCTGCTTCACATACCTACATATTAAAGTGACCTAGCAGTCAATGTAAAGATACACGAGGCTAGTGATCACCTAGCCAAGCGCAGTTAAACATACCGGAGTTCACTCCCTGAGTGTGTGGCCGTTCTATGAGGAAGTCCTTGACCCCACCCAGCTTGCGCACATCCCAAATGCGAACTGTGTGGTCCACAGATGCTGTTATCAATAGATCTGAGCCCTGTCCCACGAACTCCATATATTTACCCTTGCCCTTATGGAAACGAACAGGTTCTGGCCACATCTGCAAAATGTAAATAAATAATCCCGTTTCATACAGGAACATGAACGGGCATTCACTACTAAAAAAGAGCTATCTGCAACAGTTTGAAGACCACACCACAATGAGCAAATAAGCAATACTGGATGCGTTATTCGAAGGTCACGGTTCAGTCCTCACCGGCGACCTATGAATAGCACATTCGATGCTTATTGCTGGTGGCAAGTTATCTTTTCATAGACTTTTCTTCACATTTAAATTACAATTTCTACTAATAAACATCCCGTATACTTTCCTTGGTATCATTTGTCTGCTAGTTCTAACAATATTGTGTCTAGCACTTTCTCTCTTCAATAATAGGTAAAGAAAGTCATATTCTGTGGCCAATGTTGACATGCTCAATCATATCCTGCATGTTAACAAACATTGGCACTGAAAAAAATTCACAAGGGCTCCTCGGGGTTAAAAGGAAAGTAAGGATGAAATAAAGAAGTCTGTACAGTCTAAAAATCATTAGAACAAGCAGGCTCCATTGAAATGCAAAGAGATCAAGCAATCTTCAAGGCCACAGTGTCCTTTGCTCTACCTACTTACCAACTCGCCAGTAGTGTTGAATGCATAAACGCAGCCCATGTTGTCTCCAGCTAATAACATTTCCTCTCATGCAAAATGTCCAAGGATGTAAACCACACCCTGCAAAGACAGAAAAACCTGGTATATAAAAGCGTTCTTTAGGCACAACCGGCAAATTGTCAAAGGATAAATGTGTAGCTGACATTAGTATGCACATCCTACTTACACTCTCAGCTACTTGCCTGTAGATATTATGCGACAAAATTAGTTTGATCGTTTTTCATTAATGCTGAGCTGCCTGTCAATAACTAGTGTTTCTAGTCCCAACAAAAAGTAGTCTTCTTTCTTTTTTCCCACATATTTATGTCAAGCATGGCTCTCCACCTTGCAGACTTCCCAAAAATGCCGGAAACACTTTGTACAGTAATTAAAACCTTGGCTATCATTTCCTTTATTCAGTTAGCCCACTCACTTGTGCTTTCATTAGGCAAAAACTAAAGTCATGTTGTCAGCACACGTCCCCAACCCAAGAGACGGAGAAGAAATAATGTCTGTATATTTACTTTTTTCTTTCCATTTAATCTCAATATTTTTTCTCTCTCTCTCTTCCTTCCTTTCAGTCCCCATCCCCTTCTCCACACAGAGTAGCAGTCAGCGACACACACCACGACCGGCAAAATTCTCTGCTTTTCAATAAAGAGCTCTCTATCTCTCATTAGGCAGATTATCAGCACCAACGCACCAGTGCTCATGGCCTGTTTACATTATTTACAAAAAGATCGCTTCTTTCCTTTTTCTTTTTATTGGTACACATCAATCAGAGACATCATGTACTCTGTATTGAATGATTTACAGATATATGCAAGCAGATATATGCGAACTTGACTTTTACCCCCGAATGCAGAGATGTTACCTGACTCGTACTTCACTCAAGACAGTCTTGCCCGTCACCATAAATCGTTCTCGAACTTGCGGACGACTTGAAAGCGACTTGGCTCGGTCGAAGTCAGGACAAGTTTCAAGTCAGCTGCGGGGCTAGCTTGAAAGTGACTTCATGCGTTATTCCAACATGGGCACCTCTCGAATGAACGTCGCGCGGAGGGTGGCCACTTTTGAGTTTGCTTGCCTCGCCATAAGCGTAGCATTTTCTGAGGCGCACTGCCTGCCGAAGATTCTTGAACCCGCTTTACGTGACCGAGGAAATCCGATGGCCTTGTAAGACGAGCAACAATTCCATGCTCGGTACAGATTCGCGAAAAATGCCGTGCAGCAGCTGCTGGTTATGTTCCCGATCCGTGAAAGTGGGGACAACCGAAGACAGCCAGTGCCTCCAGTGTTGCAACTACTGATGGCTCTTAGGTTTTACGGCGCTGGCACATTCTAGTCACTGGGAATCTTGTCCGCATTCTGTAGCCGACAGTGTGCCGTGTGCGGTCGGAAAAGTTAGCTACTCATCGCAAAGCACCTGCACCGCGATGCTGGTGGGCTTTCCACAGTCCCGCCCCACTTTTCTCTTGTTTACCAAGCTCAACAAAAGGATTACAAATCACTTTTGTTCCCAGAACTGGTTTTCTTTATATATAACTGCAACCTAGCCCGCTACAAGCAGGTCCACAGGCGAACAGAAAGGCGAATACAGTGAAAATCGCGTTACCCTTGTGAGCCCGGTCAGCACAAATACACGCCGTGGCGTTCGATCGAAAAAAGAAATAATGACGAAAGAACCCATGCGATGCTTGTTTCGCGCTTCAAACAAGCAAGCATGAATAACGTGCCGCATTGGGTGGCCACTAAAAACAGCGAGCAACGAACGCTTTACAGAAGCAACCACTGCGCATCACTGTGGCGGCAGGCACCACGTGCAGCTCGTTAGCCATAAAATGGGAAAAATATGTTTGTGGCGCTTCGTATTTATAGTTATTTTAAAACGTATGGTCTTTTTTTGCTGTAACATGTGCCTTACGCGAACCAACTTTATTATTAACCTCGTTAGCACGCGAGCAGCGTGTTTCTGCTTTGAAGCTCATTCTTGACTTGAGCCAAGCAGACAGCCTGAGCATATGTGAAAAGCGAAGGCTGACTTGGGCGTTTTGAAGTTCGCTGCTTGCTTCACGCCGACTTGCTCAAGTCAAGTCGAAGGCGCGGAGCCAAGTAACATCTCTGCATTCTGGGGTTAGGCCTGAAACAGAGCTTCCTTGATAAGACAAGTACGCAAGCTTCTGTTTAGAAGTTTCCTAGCCACACAGCCGTTGACAATTTGCTGAAAATATTGACCCTTTGCCAATCAGGCCCCCTGCTTGGATGTTTACAATGCACAGAACCTTTTCTAACACCGTAGCTATGCTGCTAAACAATGTTCAAAACACTAAGTGGTGAGTGCACCGGCGTAGAGGGCAAGTCTCTTACCCTCTCGGACTCCGTGTCCCAGAACACCTGAGGGTCGCCTCCTTCGAAGTTCTGCAGCATTACTTTGCTGAGCAGCGTGGCAGTGTACACCTGTGTTGCCGTATCAGGATGAAACTTGATAGCTGCCCAGCTTAGAGCCACTACCAGTCTGCATAGAAAGAAGAAACATGAAGGAGAGACAATCGATATCTTGTAGCACCACAACAGGCCCTAGCTCTCATAAAGCCCTTTCTGGTGCCACATAGCGAAACTCGGTAAAACTGTGCGATGCAAGCCTGCTAAAACAGCCCTGCAGCAGCAACATATACATTAACAGAGCACTGAAACAAACTTTTGTACCCTTTTTTTTTCCCCCAATAGGCTGGGTTATATGCATTTATCCCGTCTAGAACCCCATTACATGCTATTGCTATGGTTACTTGTACGGAACATTTTAGAGTGCTGGTGGCAGTTCGGTTTCAAAGAGCACCAATTAGACAGGAGCAGTTCTGCTGTCAAGGTAATACAGCTGGCTACGTGACCATGGAAAATTGTGACGTACACGCCGCGTGTGAGAGCGAGCGTTGCAGCGAAAAAGAGCACAGCAAGCACAACAAAGCTGCAGCACAGAGGAAGAAAATCACAGGTAGCACAGCACAAGGCACGCGCAAGCAACCAGCAACACAACTCGTGATGCAAGTTTGTTCATGTTGACCACTGCATTGATGAAAGCGTCGCGAGGGGGCTCTGACTCTCGCTCCATTGCATGGCATGCCCTTTAAAATGATTTTAAATATCTTAAGGCAATATTTACATTGGTGTTCATAGATCTTGTGCATGTCTTCTCTCCACATAAATCTATCTCATTCATTATCTTGCTTTCTGAAATTTTTGTCGGGGCTCCTTCAATTATGACCTTGGCTGCTGAACATACTGGAGGTTTATCAACTACAGTTATGGCTGACCGTTATTCCACGCCACTACCTAAGTATCCTGATACACTGATGGTAATGAGTTGTCTTGCAAATCAAGACAGATGCTTAGAGCCCTTTGATGTTGCCAATTAAAGCTCAAAAAATTAACTCGAGCTTTTGAGTGCATTTTGACTCATTATCAGCTCATCTAACAATGTCAGACTTCAGAGACACATTCAAAGTTCACGAATTAAAGTGCTCCCAAGAAAAAAGATCAATAAGCCACGAACATACATGTTCAGGATGAAGTACGAAGATAAGTGTTGCAATATAATATATATATATATATATATATTATATATATATATTATATATATATATATATAATTCATTTTCACTAAATATAAGGCAGGGGCATGAAAACATTGATGCTGTCCATATCGTTCCTCCTAACATGCAAGATGAAATTAGAATTAAGATGAACAAGCAAGATGTCTACCGGCGGTGTGTGAGCGGTCTTCTTGGTGTCCCAGGCATTCCACAGTACAATCTCGCCGTTCTTGGATCCCACAGCAAGGAGGTTCGGACGAGTTGGGTGCCACTGAATACATGTCACTCGCGCCGATTCGTTGAACTCTGGCATGGGCAGAGTGGGGAGTGTGAAGCCAAGCACTTCCCGAGCCAGCAGCTGCCTCTTCAACTGAACAAGCACAGTTATAGACGAATCAAAGTAGTTGATACCATTGAGGTCAGATCGTATACAGCTTAAAATGGGGCCATTTCTTGCCACTTACATTTGTTGTGTTGTGTAGTACATCTTACAAACAAAAACAAAAAAAGGGCAGGAAACCACAAAGACTAAGAGCTACAAAGAAGACACACGCACATTCCACCTTCTAGACGAGTCTAATAATGAATATTTAAGTGAACATGGCTAAAATACCTGCCCTGCTATAATCAAGTAGCATTTAAATGTAAACAGCTAATGATCAACGATAAATTATTTAAGGCCTAGCTGTACCTTTGATGTACTGCACCATCTCTGTAGGTTCCTGTGTTGTTATTCTGTACAATAAACAATCAGGTGCCCAACTGCATAAGGTGTAACATTTACACTTTTTTTTTAAATACTGGCGCTTCAGACAGATGAAGCATTTAAGCTGTAGGAGCCATAAACATGTTACCCAGGTGAAAATGTGTAACTGGGAATACAACTGGTTTCAACGGGTGTTAACTGGGATCAACTGGTTTGAGTTGATTCCAGTTGTAACTGATTACAATTGACAGCTGTTACCAGTTACAACTAAATTGGTACAAGATGATTCCCGCTGCAACTAGACCCAGTTACAGCTCAACTGGCCACCAATGGGAACCATGACCAGTTGAAATGGAAGCATATATCTGTCCGAACTGTTTGGCAGCTTAGTGCAAAGCAACTCAAGACTTCGCTAAGCCGAAATACTTGCGCCAGCTCTTCAGAGCATGTGCTCGCTTGTTTCTCCACCAGAAAGATGCAGACCATCTGGGTGAAATTTGGTATTTCTGACCCTCAACAATCGACGATCAATGAAAAGGGACGTCCTTACAGCTAACATGCCTACTGTCGAATACTTTTTCACGATCGTCTGGTACGAGAAACACGTAGGTGCTACACTGAAGTGCAATTTTTAGATGATATCCCCCTTGACAACGACGACACACAAGCCACCTCACCTTGCCAAGTGCTGGTCGCCTGGATCCGTCTCTCAACAAACTGTTGTTCAGGCACTGCACGAGATTGTCTTTCCTTTTCGGCGCTGCCTTAATTGAACTGACAGCCGACTTCTTCACATCGCTCAATTTCTTTGAGCCTCTTTTCGCGCTCTTCTTGCCAGCGTCACTCTTTTTCTTCGTGCTCGCCGAGTTGGGGGCCCGACGACGCTCCGCCGTCGCTTCATCGTCGTCGTTTGCAAGTTCGCGTCCTCTGCGACGACCGCGACTACTTGGCCCAGCCTCGTCCATGAAGCCAGTCGTGTTCGGGATGACAGGCTTTCCACGTGTAGTACGGGAGCACAATAGCCAGCCGAAACCACCCTCACGCACTCAACGTGCTTTTACCTTTAACAGACAAGTTCAGGCACGTTGCAGGAATGGCGCGAACCTTGTTTTTAGCTCATTCTGCGCACGCGCGAGTCGTGCGCTTGCGCAAACCGCGCGTATTTCGGTTGCTAGGCACCCGCAAGCTCAAGGACGAACTTGACTTGTATTAGCGCGGCACACATTAAGCACAGACGTCAAGAAAGATAGGCGCTAAATTTCCAACTGTTTATTTCATGCCCTTCACATCCATCTTATACATGCGTAAAAATGCAACTCATCTTGCACGTGGTTTCATGGCTTTATTCCAAGATACAATCATTATCAGAGTTGGGGCCCCGACGACACTGTCGTCGCTTCATCGTCGGCAATTGACATGCAAGATGAGTTGTGTTTTTACGCATGGATGCGAAGGGCATGAAATAAACAGAAGTTTAGCGCCTACCTGTGGTATTGCGGCGTGCAATACGAATACACAACACTACCTTTCTTGACGTCTGTGTCGTCTTTTCCTTTTTTTCATATGTGCCGCGCTATGTTCATAGATAACAAAATATGTTCATAGATAACCAACTTGCCCGAGCCAGAATACTTCACGGACCAGAACCCATCATCATCGCTACCTCTGTGGCGCAGCACGCCCTTTTCCCCCGGGTTATGTGGCAGTCTGTAGTACACGTGGGGGAGGGGTAGTCACCTAATAAAATGGGGGGGGGGGGGGGGCTGCGATGGACTTCTGCCCCCCTCGCCCCTGATTCAGAACCCTGCACACGCCTATGCGACGCTTCAGGATTCTTAAAGAGGACCACGCATATTTACAACGTCCCAGAGCGGATTATCGCTGCACCTACGGAGCCTTCGCTGAAAAGGTGCGCAAAGTGGAGGCATTTTAATTGCTTGAGCGCATCAATATGTTCTATGAACATTTCATTTTCTTGGTATCCTTAACGTTCAATGCTAGCAATGATGAGGCGGCAAATAACAGTAAGGTCAGAGAGTGCTTTGATGCCCGCAGTGGTGGCAGAGAACATCTGTATCACATCCTTGATTGCATTAAAGCATAGACAGTGGGTGGTAGCACGGTTACGCGGTTTAAGGTACCTAGATGAAACTTAGGGACCTCCGGTTAACGAAATGGTAGCACGGTTATCCGTGCAGGTACCAGCTCAAGCAAAGAAGACAGGATACAAGACTTAATGTATTTATTCAAAATTTCGATTAGTTTTCAAAAAAAAAAAATAGTGCTTGCTACTCAATTCTGTTCACATTAAAATATTACTATTCGAACTTTCCGAAGAGAAATACACTGAACATCTCAATTAACAATTGCTCCTTTAGATTTTCTTTATATGCTTCACCCCAACTTAGTTTCGTATTGCGGCAAAGCTGCCTTTCAGGCTCTGCTGCAGTCTCAAATGTGTTGACTCCAGAAAACATAGGTTCCTAGATGTAGATGACAGATGGGAAAAAGGTGGGGGCTCAATTAATACTGTTTTAAACCAGAAATTCAGGCAGGAAGTAAAAATAAACGCTGCAGATTTTTAGCATCTAAAATTTCAGATGTTCTCATATACAGATGTCTACGAGGAAGATATGAAACTCTGGACTTGACAGGAGCCCTCCCTTGTTCCCCACATCAGTTGGGCTTCTCTACATTAGTTGAAAAAGGAGGAGAGGCTGAGGAAATAGTATCTTTGCCTGTAATGCGTAAAGTGTTGTCGGCAACATTCTACTGCACCAAATCATGTACATAAATACCTAGCCAGTGGTTCATCAACCTAGCCAAAAGAAAGACCTTCATTTGCTATCTCATAAGAATATGCCTAGTAATCCTCTCCAACTTTTTTCTGCAATTTTGCTTCAAATAATATTACAAAATATTCTTTAAAAAATTGACAAATATTTATTATGATTCACATTTGCACTTCAATATTCAAATTTACTTTGCACTCAAATATTGCTATATTTGCACAGATCTAGTTGAAATCGTCACGAAACAATGGATTTCACTTGGTTCCACCAAAAACGTTATGTAGATAGTATCCAACCACGATATACTAGTCCATACACCTGTCTTCTCTTATAGAAGATGAGACTTCCTCCTCACTTGTTGCTGCCTTTTTCTTTGGCTATGCACTCTTTATTAATTACTTTGTGTCGCTCTTTAAATTGAGACGCCTCCTTGCTTCTTTAATAATACCTTGCACATAAACCATTTCACGCGTGGGGCGATGTTATAGATGAGGACTTTATATAGAACATCACGGCACCATCGATGGTTACGACAAAACATGCCGAATGTCCATATAATTGTTATCGCAACACTAGAAAAACTGGATCGTGTTGTTGGGCTAGTCGGCCCATGCTGAAGAAAGTTTACAGATGCAACCCACGTAGATGACAAAAGAAGAGGACTGGATGGAACTTAGTGGCACTATCCTGCGCCCTCTTTTTTTAATCTACACCTGAATAAAAAAAGGTAACATTCCTAGGGACACCGGGGTTGCACACACATTATTAAAAGCTGGCTTTCTGAAGCAAATCAGTAGATACCATTTTGCCAAAGCTGTAAATACTGTTAACCACTTCAGTTCTAATCGACAAAGATTCCTCTTGCAAACTATTGCAACTTGTAGGCCTGTGCAAATATTTGCACACTTCAAATAATCGAACGAATACTAATGTATTTGCATTCACTTCGAATCTAAATTATTGGAAATTTCGAAGTAAACAAGTAGGTGTATCCACATGTAACTTTCTGTAAAAGTGGCTTCGCTGCTGTGAAGGGGTGCTCTGCCTTTAACACATTTTTTCAGGAAAAGTTTGCACTGCCGCGAAATTTTACCACAGAACACCTACTTTACTTTGAGGTTAAATAAACACTTTAACCCCCCACCCACCAACCCACCCATTGATTCTTTTATTTAGGGGCAATGCTCCTTAAAGCGGCACCCGTTCATCCCTCGTCGTAGTCGTAGTTCATAACCAGTCTTGCCCTTTGACCTGTAAGGTGGTACCGGTGGGAGATTTCTCCTGTGCGCTGTGAACAATAAAAAATTCGCAGCGTGCACATTAACTAAAAGCCGAATTTTCCTGTCTCTCATTCTCAATTAGCAGCCATTGACATGTAAATTGACCACTATCTGACAAGAAAGGGTTGCTACGTTATATTCGCTGGGCGTAACCTCCTTGGTTTTATAAAGGTTTAGCGAGCGTTGGGCCGCAGTGCCATGAATACAGTGAACTAGTATATACCATGAACTCGAGGTGGTTAAAGGTGGGAAGTAGACCCAAAGCACAAGCCGTAAGAAAGTGTGCGTGTGCCATCTCTCGTTTAGTCCTTGGAATGTCCGCTGGATGGCGGTGCTTCTATATGGGGAATATATGATGAAAAGATGCGAGATGGTGGTACTTGGAGTGTTGAATAGATGGACGAACGGACACACAGACAGATGCATGGACGGATGCACGGATGGCTGCACGCACGGATGGACACATAGACGAACGCAGGGACGGACGTGCGGATGCATGAACGGACACACACACAGACAGCCGGATGGACGCACGGACGGTCACACAGAGGGACGCATGGACGGACAGATGCTTCGCCCCACTCTCCATCATTCACCCCGTGGATATGCTGCCATTATTTTTTTTTATAAGCTTACAAAATTTCTATGGGAACTTATACGCTTTAAGAATGGTAAATTTAGAACGTAACATATTTTACAGGTTATCACGTGCACTCTACTGCAACTCAAATTCTGGTACTATTGGAAGTTGCTTCTGCTTCCATTGAATCAAAACCTATAGCATTTGCCCATGGCTTGTTTCAATTTAAAACAATATAGATCAGGTTAGTTAGATCATCATAAATATGATAAGTTTTCTTTATAATATGCGAATATGATGACATTATTCTTACCGAATTGCTTTCCTATTGGAACCTAAAACTCGCAATTCGCACAAGCCTAGTAACATGATTTTCAAATGATGCACAGCTTGATAAGTATCACATTCAATGATAGTCCAAGCACAACTGATGTTATTTTATGCATGACGAGAAATCAGTATAAGTATGGCCAGTAATGACCAGAAACGGAGAGTGTGACATGACTTAAATGACAAGCGAAAGAATGGTCAAGCATAATTGTGAATTGTAAATAACGGCCCTACGTTGCCATCTAAAGATGGAGTGTGAAATCTATGCTACACTGCAAAGCAAATGGCCGACTTTTAGCAAAAACAAGGTTGGGCCAAATACCTAGCTGTCCTCGGCAACAACTTATCTTGACATCGGAGCGAATGCTACAGAGGTGGGGCTTCCACACATACACGTTGCTCTGCAAGTAGTACGGCAGCTTGCAGCCGATTTGGGTTTCGCTTGCTTGCATCGTAAAAAACTCTATTCACGAACATGTGAATGGGAGAAACATTTTGGTGGTTTAGTGCAAATTTTACTGTCACATTACCAGTATATTTTCTTGGGGAACTAAACAGCGCGCTTGTGACCACACGCTTACCATGGAAAATGGGTTTGCTGAAAAGGTGCCGTTGTTTACGGAATGAAGAGAAAGGCATTCCTGCAAAGCGAACAATACTTGTATTTTACCTGCAACTTCCAGCATCTGTCCTAGTCTCATAATAAATAAAGCAGCATTTATTTGAGCGAGGCAACAAGAAAATTATTAGTGAACTTGAGTACGGCCCTTTGGCGCAGTAGCAGGTATGCACTTCGGTTCTGTAGTTCCCACAGTGCCATCAAGGAAAGTTGCTGACGAGTGTAGTGAGTGCGAGGAGTATTAGTGGTTCGAAGTTTCACAAGCATGTGTAGCACAAGTCAAGATTAACTAGCCATAAGCACTATACAGCAACCTTTTATTCATGGTTTGTGACAAGCACAATGTAGAGGTCACTAAATAAAAACAAGCACGCTAAAAATTGTTGGCCTGCAGTCATCCACATAAACACACATCAGACATTGGTCAACAAACACATTACATTGGGATGGTACTGTGCCAGTCGGAATGTCCTCGCATAACTGCCACACATCATACACACTTTTTTGGCCTCCGTATAGCACATTGAAAAAGAGCGCGCTGCTGCAGCAGTGCTCACAGTGCCACTGCGGTACGTATGATTGGCCGCAGAATTGCACCACTTGTCCACTGATGATTTGCCACAACCACTTGCTGACCGGCAGGGCTCTATAAAAAAATTGCTCGGATCTTAGTGCCGAGTGTGAAAAGCAAGTTTCGACAAGGAAGGTTCATTGGGCTCAAATTGTGCTTCGGCCAGACGCTGTGTCAAGTTTTATGTTGGAGTCCTGTGACGCTCTAGTGCTGCCTCTGGCTCCATCGTGAAGGCTAAGGCGTTAGACCAAGCCCTTGTCTGAGTACTGATACTCCAAGCCATCCTCTTCCACTGCAAAGCAGGCAAGGAACTCGGGTTAGGGAAGACCGAAAGAGCATGCAGTGTCCCAGCAGACAGGCAGGCAGTCGGTCATGCAAGAACAGACTCCTCCTAAATACCACACATGCACAGCTTGCGCTTCACACAGATGAGTGGATTGTGTTTTGGGAAGGGAAGGGCTTCGAGGTGACACTACAACATGTACATAAGGTGCGGAGGGATTTGCTTGAGAATGGCAACCACAGTTAGTAAAGGTGATTTGTGCTGGAAAAGCAAAAAAGATGACTGGACCAGGCACACAAAGCTTACTTCATTTTGCATGTATAACCCATCTCCTTACATTACTAAATCACTATCATAATGTTACTTCACACAATATCGATTAAAAAAAAGAGGTGAAAAGCAATCTTGCATGTACAAGTTCCTCGAACTCATAATTGACACTGTCTGCATAAACATCCTGCGATGGTTGGCACGGACCAGAGTTTCAAAACATTTTATTGTTTACTGCCACAGTGGTGCAGTTTTCGAAGCATGTCGCCTCCAGATTGAAATAAATTATGGCCACACCACAAGGCAAAATTACTATGTAACCTGCACGCCAACTTTGTACATTTATGTCTTCTTAGTTCTTGGTGTGAATACTATGCACACCTTTGGCCATGGAACATAATATTGCATGATTTTATATCTAGAGTGGCAGCACAGAAGTGCACAGCCACAACTGATGTTGCTACAGTTACCAGACTGTTAGGCGAAAGAATGGGGACATGTAACTAACTGCAAAACAGCATATGTCATCTTCAGTAGCATTTTTCATCATCATCATCAATTTATTTTTGTACACTGCAAGATGAAGGCCCCTTATAGTACAATATTTACTCGCGTAATGAACGCACTTGCATAATAAGTGCACTCCAAACTTCAGTCAAAATCTAAATTTTGCTTTCTCCCACGTAGTAAATGCACCCCCTACATTCACCCACTGCAGTCCTGCTAACCTGCACCTGGCGCCTCCTTGCCCGTTGGATCTTTAGTTTTTTATTATTATGCAGACCCCCATCGGCACCCTCTGCTCGCTCCCACTCCCCCTTTCGCCCACTACCACGTGCCGTATTGTTTTTTTTTTTTTCTATCTGTGCGCAGCATGTCCCCTGTCTTTTTCTAATTATCTGTGCGTCACATCGGGGTTCACGAACGGTGCGAGTGTGAGACATCGCAGCTGATAAGCACACAGTAACGAAGGTCACGAAACTGCCTACACCAACCGATGGTCACTTTCTGTATACTAAACTTTAAGGCCCACCCCCATGCCCGTAATTTTCGAGCGACGATGACAGTGTTTGCTGTCGCCATGGCTGTTGCGAATTCGTTGCCATCGCGTCACAGGTTTTTGGAAATCCCGAGAAATTGACTTGTTGGCCGGAAAAGATCGTGACAATTTCTGCAACGTGGCAGCACTCTATATTCTCGCTTCAGTTGCAATTTTCTCTTCATACTTGTTACCAGCGTGTACTTCAAGAAACACAAAATACAGGCTACCTTTCCTACAGTAATTTCACATACGAAAAGCCGTACAGCAGCCGTATTTTGTCATTATTACTTCAATTGGCTTTTTTTTGATGCCTTGATAGTAGCTTGACGCAATAATAATAGTGTAGTCGCGGTCATTGTGCAAAGTTGTCACGTAGTTGGCAAAGGGCATCGTAGCGCATACTTCTGGGCACCCCTCGAGATCGCAGGAGATACCATTGTTGCGGTTAAACGGTTGCGCGAAAAGAAAGCCGCGAAATGCTTTTGTGGAGTGCACGGGCAGTGCAGGGACTGCTTGCATAAGATAGCGCCTTCAACCACTGAATATGAGTGAAGTGCAACAAAGGAGCTGTTTCCAAACAGCATACGTGTATGTCAATTTCAAAAGACTAAGTGACTTGACTTCTTTTTTTTTTTACATTTTACATTACCACATTTTTAGCCCATCCCGAAAAAGTTTTCATATAATTTGCCCCGCATAGTAAACACACTCCCACCTTTGCTCTGATTTTTTTAGAAAAAAAAAGTGTTCATTACGCTAACCTAGATTGTTTGAAATAAGAGTGTACTATGTGAACGCGGACAGGACAGACAGGGACCCTGTCTGTCCCTGTCTATCCTGTCCGTGTCTACGTAATGCGCTCTTATTTCAAACAATCATGCATCACCACCTCACCCAATCAAACATATTGACAAGGTAACCTAGAACTCACTTGCCGCCTTGTGTGAGCTCTTCCCATTTAATTCTTGCAAACTTCTTAGTTTCGTCACTTCATCTAGCTCGTTGCCATCCTTGACTGCATTTCCCATTTCTTGGTGACCATTCCATCACTCTAATTCACCAGCAGTTGTCTGTCTTGCACATCACGCAGCCATACCAAGTCGATACCTTTTGATTATTGTCAACTAGAATATCCACTACCCATGTTTGCCCTCTGATCTTTCTGCCATCCTTGGATCACCCAACGTTACACCTCCCCTACCACTTACACTTCTCACGTTACACCCATGAAAATGGGAGCATGTAGGCACAGTTTGCCACTTACACAAGCCACCATGTGCTGCCAAATGAAATTGAGTAATGGTAAGTTAGTAGCCGGTTCTCCAGTACTGCATGGGAAACTAACAGGCATGCATAGATGCAGAAGCCAGTTGAGCTCTTGCGATGTGCAGCATTGCTAGGAATACTCACCAATGTGACAACCAGAATGCAAAGTATCTCCTAGCTAACAGTAACTTGACCCTTCTCCAGCAATAAAAACACCGCACACACAATAGGGTGGCTCTCTAGATGCATGGTGGCCATACCATGCAAAACCCCTTACAACTGTTGAAGTCCCCTAAGGACAACTGAAGATATGTGCAACATTTCTCACAATGAGAAAAAGTTGCTGTGAATTGACAGGCATACACATATACACCCCAAAATGTCCTGGCAGTTTCATACTATCCTTGGGTTAACAGCAACTTTTTTGATATACTATTTCTGGACAGTTGCTAGGTAACTGATGGCACCTGCAGCATTGTGCATGGACAAGGCATTACTTAATATTTACACATCTTCAGTGAAAGCACTGGTCGCATGCTATTTCTGAAAAGAAAAAAACAAAAAGCCAACTGCATGCCATATCCAAGCACTAATCTAGGAGTAGACACAAGATAAAAAAAAAATCAAGGAGGCACAAGGTAGGGCTTCATCGTACAAAGCAGTTTCTCAGATGACACGACCATATTGCTTGAAGATTTGTGTGAGTGCTTGAAGATTATTTGTATGTGTGATTTGTGTGAAAGCGTTTTCAAAGCAATGTTACTGGTTGCTGGTATCAAGGCTAAAGCAAATAGTTGAACCTCGGAAGCTGCATAAACCACACTCTCATTTATATGCAACTGAGCTATGACAGACAAGAGCTTTCTCCCGCCTGCTAGTCACACATAAACTGCTCTCAAGACGGGTTCTAATAATGGCAGTTGAAAATACAGAATTGTATTCAAGTCTTCTACATTACGGTATGTAGAAAGTGTAACGGCACACTGTGTTTCGCAAGCCATAAAATACAGGGCATCAAGGCCTTTCGTGAGCTACTTGAGAGGTGATAAGTGTTGTGTGCAAGGTGTCACAGCTGACACAAGTGTAGTGTTGTACCCTCATGGAGCTCGTCGGTTGTGGGACAGTGGCATGCTCATGCACGCGTCACATGACGTCCACAAAGAGCTCGCAGGGGTTGCCCATGGCCATGCGGAAGGACTGCCTACTACCGGTCAGTTCTTGAGAGCCCTCGGCACCGTCCACGCTGCGGCTAGACTCCGCGGGTGGTCCGCCACTGCCCCCTGCATTGCCACACCGGGCATCACACCAGCTCTAAAAATGCCACCTGACACTCTGCGCTGTTTTGTGCAGCTCGTTGAGAGATTATGAGAAAGACAAAGGAGGAAGAATTTTCAATGACTCAAGGAGAAGAAAGAGATGACTATAACTTGAGGTGAGATATAATGCAGTCATAACAGTAGGCTTAAAATTTTGCCTTCTAACGTAGCCCAATCCAACAGGAGAGTGTTTCTATGCAATATCACATTCACATGCATTGCAGACCATTTAGGCATGTAACCTAGTTGCGGACTGCCTATTGCATAGAGTGATATGTCCTAACAGCAGCTTATCAGAATGCACAGAAGAGTTCATTAAAATGGTATCTGTCCTTGAATGATCAGATTTCACTGTGTCACACAGCTGTAGAAGATGATGTCACTGAACCTTGAGACGTCAAAACCTTGTTGTTGCCGGGTCTCCATGTTGCAAGACCCCCCTCATTTCCATTTGGCTTGTGCTCTCGTTGAGCGCATTCATGCATGCCTGTCTACATGGCTATATTTCTACGAGGCTGGTCAACCAAATGCTGTGCTTTCTTAATGAAGGACAATAGCAAAGAGAAAAGAGGAAGACACAGCAAAATCACTCTCAAAATTTATGATTCACAACATTGTTTGTTTTGAAATGAGAGCTCACTACTTAGACGCAGACAGAAAGACAGGGACAAGCGCTTCTAAGTAGTGTGCTCTCATTTCAAAACAATTATGTATCACCAACTCGCCCAATAAACCATATTGACAAATTACACCATAGCTGGCATTTGTTGTGAAGATTGGCACCAGGAAATAGCCTGAAATGGGAATGTATCTATGAGGTTTTACTGTACTGAACTAACATATTTACTCGCGTAATGAATGCCCTCGCAGAATAAACGCACCCCCAACTTCAGTAATTAAAATTTGGATTTTTTTCCCCCCGCATGATAAACGCATCCCCTACATTCATCTCCTGCAGTTCCGCTAACAAACACCTGGTGCCTCCTCACCCGTTCGCTCTCTTTCCGTTTTTCATTACTTTGCCAACCCCCCTCAACCACCTTGGCTCATTCGCCACCTCGCCCCTTGCGCGTGCCTATTGCTTTTTTTACTATCTGTGCGCAGCAGGTCCCCCCCCCCCCCATCTTATCTATGCGCCTTAGCTGGGTTCATGCACAATGTGAGTGTAAAGAGATGTAGAGACATCGCAGCTGATAAGCACATAGCCAGCGAAGGTCACCAAACTCCGTTGCTTTCAGCGAAACCCCCCCCCCTTCCCTCTTTTTAGCCTTTCTTTTTTCTTCACTCTAACTGTTCCTTCATTCCCCGGACGCCCCTCGAGATCACAAGCAGATACCACTCTTGCAGTTAAACGATTGCCAGAAAAGGTAGTTGCAAAGCGCCCGCCCCCGTGGCCCGAGGTCAGCTTGCAGAAGATAGCGCCATCAACCACCGGAAAATGAGTAAAGTGAAACAAAAAAGCTGTTTTCAAACAGTGTACGTGCATATGAAAGGCTAAGCGACCTAACTTTTTTTTTTGCATTAGCGCATTTTTTCTTTTTCCCGAAAAAGTTTTCATACCATTTACCCCGCGTGCATTCATTACGCGTTCCTTACGCGAGTAAATACAGTATCTTGTGATCACCTTTACGTCCAATATATCCAGATTTAAGGGAAGTCAAGAGTAATGAAAACATGTCCGACTGAAAATTTTCATTGAAGTGCTTTGCGAGGAACACATGGGGACAAGAAAAGGAGGCACACAAATAAGTGCAATCTAAATGTTTTATTTTTGAAAAAGCTTTGCTTAAAACCGAATGTGACCTGTGCAATAACAGCAGAGAACACACCATCCGCACACATAACAATTACTCTAGATAACAATGCCACAGGTCATCACGTCAACGCCCTAACAACCCCACCGGTGACAAATCACGCCTTTTCGTGTGTTAAGTGATGCCCACTGCGTGCTCACAACTGAATTGAACCACCTTTGCTAGAATTGATGCTGTTTCACTGAAGCGCGATACTGCCATGTGGAGCTGATCATCCCTGTCTGGTTGCGTGCAGTATGTTGCCTACTCGGCTCACACAGTCACATGCCGGGTCGTTTGCAGTAATGTATGCACGTGTTTGTTGCATTCTTCGTGCATGCTTTACTCGTGCGGCATATAGCCTCTTCATTCAATGTGATGAAGACATGTAATTGGCAAGTGGCCATGCACGACGCAGCGGCGGTGGATTCGCTAACGACAGCATAGCACCCCTGTACCACTGTCACTTCACACAGTTTACGTCAAATGCACAGCCAAGCAGATATCTGCAGATAACTGATAAGGTTGTCAGTGATTGGTCATAATGGCATGCTCATTGCTACCAGTCACATTGCCTTCGCTCTTTTTTGATGCTTATTCATGAAGGCATTGCCACAACTGCATGGGAGTCATTATCATTGATCGATCAGTCTCTGTCGTAACCGAAAGGCGCAAAACGTTTTGTGGCACCTTGTGGTGTCATTCATGCAAAAAAAAAAAAAAAAAATGCTTCCTGCATTTATGGCTTTTTGCATTTGAATATTTTTTTTAGGTTCATCATCGTTTCTCATAGATGAAGAGAACAGCATCAGAAAAGGTTCACTGTCATTCTGCCACTGAAGAAACATCTGCAGATTTCGGGTGCTCTTGCAGCACCCAAAATCTGCATGCGGTGCTTGCCGCCGTTGATGATAACATTGTTGCAAGTAAACTGCAGTGGAGTGCACTAGAATGCGAGCTTCTCACGCGCTTTAGGATTCCAGTTTAAAATTTTTTTTCCTACTTTGTATGCATAATATTTTCACTGCGATCATGTTGGAAGTGTTCATCACAGTTTCAAAGGACAGCAAAGGGAAATTGTAAGTGCACAGAAATACGGTCTGTATAACTGCTAGGTCGTTATAGCTGGGATCCAATATATTACGATATCGTGCAATATCACTTCTTTTCGGCCTGGCCACACCAGACAAATATAAGAAAGAAATAACATAATTTGAGAGCATCATGAAAATACCTCATACTGACACCAGCATCTAAAAATGAACACTCAAAGTTGATGCTGGACATAAATATGGTATTTTTTCATTAAATCAAAGTACTATTGTGTCTCACATAGGGTTGGATATTTTGCTTTTAGAATGTCTCTCCTTATCTCTAAGCACAAAGGCAACTAAATATGCATGTGGTTGACCGACCTATCTTTCATTCTCAGAGAAATGAGAATGAAAGTTTAGACGTCGGGAATTAAAGTACAGCAAATGTTGAATAAGGCAGCTGCTTGCTTTATTAAACCAAACATTCACATAACCACAACTGCAATCAAACTTTATTTAGGGAAACACCGGTTGACGAGAGAGGGCTCGTTTAGACACAGAGTTCAGGACCAAAGTGCTCACCAGATCCCGAATGGGTGCTCCCCTCACGAGCATAGTTGACGTAGGAGGCCAGTTGTGTCTCGGCAGCACTCGGGGCAGCCGTGCTGCCACACACGTACCCGGCTGGCAGTAGGGGACCCAAGCAGCCCCAGGGGGGCACCATGCCCCCAGCCCCACCTTCCTCGTCCTCTTCTTGAAGACGCAGTGAGCACATGTCTGAACAGGGCAGGGCAAGGTACAGAGTGTGAATCATGTGACCAAAACTGGATGTGAAAGAGGAGGGCTACATCAAAAGTAAAAGCTAGAGCAGTGTGAATAGCAAAATTCTGAGTGCAAAGCGAATTCGAATATGAAAGTTCGAGTGCAAATCATTTGAATATTTTCTAATACTTTAAGGTGAAATAATAGAAGAAAGGTTGCAGAGAATCCCTAAGCACATTCTTATGAGAAAGGAACATGGTGTTCCCTAATTGTTGTATTAGGGATGAGGCAATGCAGACCGACTCACTTATTTTAGGCTTATGCAAATAGTGAATTTCAGGTTCCAAGCGAATAGTGACTTTGGTCAAATAACTTCAAGTCAAATTAGAATAGCATATATTTGTCAAGTTATAACAAACGTGCCTAATATTTTTTAAAAATTGAAACAAAGCCTGTGCAAATGTAATTTTTTAGCTTCAAAGAAACTGGAAACGACTTTGAACAGCAGTAGCATTTGACTTTCGGTAGAATGCAAGTGATAACCTACAAAATATGTTACATTTTAATATGTGCAATATCTAGAGCATATAAGTCAGTAGAACATGTTTAGAAACTTAAATTCTTCACCTAACCTTGAAGTAAGGCTTTGCAACAATGCAAAGTTTGCTTGAACAAGTGTTTTTATAGCTTAGCATCACTTCACTTCAGTGAAACCACCTTAAAAAAAAAAAAAGGTAAATGTTTTTACGGTTTCGCACGTCTTCACTGCATAAAAACCACATGTAACTTATTATTAGTCTACATGTAACACAATAAAAAGGTGGTTTCACTGTAGTACATGGGTGCTAGACTGTGAAAGCATTTAATTTTATGTATATACGTTTACATGTAAAAGTAATTTCACTGCAGTGAAGAGGTTTCACTGCAGTGAAGAGGTGGAAGAAAACGCATATTCACGAGAAATTTGCACAGCAGTAAAGTTCCGATTTACGGTTGAATGAAGACATTACCCTCACATTGAATCATTTTTTTTTCGTTTAAAAGCACTGCATATCGACTCTGTATATCGGCTCTAAGCACAGCAAATTTTAAAACAGCATATTTTGCAGACTATCACCTGCACTGTACCAAAAGTAAAATCCTGCTAGGTTGTTAAAAGTTGTTTCCACTTCCTTTGATGCGAAAAAAAAAAATAATTTGCACAGGCCTTCTTTCAATTTAAAAAAAATATTATGCACGTTAGTTTGTTTATGACAAGTATGCACCTTTTTCCTTTATAACATGCAATATATATACTGTTCCAATTCGATTAAAAATTATTAGACCGAAATTTGCTATTCACTTCGTACCCACAATTCACTATTTGCACAAGCCTAATGAGCATACATGTATAAGCTTCATTACAATTTTATCTTTGTCTTAAAATGTTGAGTTGTATTCACTCGAAGAACTAAACTGAGATCAGAGTCCATGGATTGTGTATTATGTTGTAGTGCCACCATCACCATCATCATTTCTCAATCACCGCGCCGCGCCCCTCGCGCAGCTGATGCTAGCTGGAGCTGCGCGAGGATTAGAACAAGCTAGCGCACTTGGTGTGTCGGACGTGGAAAGCCACGCGGCTCCGCTTCAGGCGTGGAATAAAGTGGCGAGAGAACGACACGACCACGTTGGCCGCTGTGCCGTCTTCCTCTCTCGCTACATTGGTGACCCGGAGAACACGCCCTTCGCCGAGCGGCCCGCGGCCATGTTCCAGCAACTCTGCCCGCCAGTGCCGCCGTTCCAATCGACCTACCCCAAGGTATGGTTCATGCAGCTCGATACCGTTCTTGCGCTGAATGGCGTCACGGACCAGCCGCTAATGCACGCCATTCTTCATGATGCCCTTCCGGTAGAGTTGCGTCATCTCTCTGCCACTTCAACCTCCAGCCAGCAGCCTTACGATGACCTCTGCTCTGCGGTGCTTGCCAGCTATGGCCTCACCTACCACCCGCTGCCGTTTACCCGCGACTTTCAGGTTTTCCCTGCGTCGCAGCGTGCTGGACCCTCCGGCCCGAAACTCTCATCTGACCGCAACCTAACTTCCCCGACAACGTCTCCCTCCACCTTTGGTCCGGCCACTAGCGCAGTGATTCTCGCACCCGGTCACAGATCCGACGAGGTTCTTGAAGTCGTTCCTGCTGCCGACAACCTGTCCATCACGAAGTGCGTTTTTTCGAAGTCCTCGGCCGATGGTCCTTCTGGCACGCTTGCTACCTGCACGTTTTCCACGAAAGCGACGGCACGCGATACCGTGGCCCCACCAGACTCCATGACGACCACCTTGCCGCCCACATCGGAGTCTGGCACAGGTGACCTTTCGCCCGTTATTGACTTCCCGACCTCGAAGCTTTCGCCTTCAACAACGTCCGATAAACGAGACTTAACCTCTCGTCTGGCCACTAGCGACGCGTGTCCTGCGCCGGACTGCCCATCCGCCAAGGTTGCCGACATTTGGGCTGAATGCAACCAGTCAGCCACGAGGTTTGTGTTTTCATCGTCCTCGGCCGACGACGCTGCAGGCATGCTTACCACCGGCTCGTCTCGGCCGACCTCCATGGCTCACAACACGGCTGACACGTCAGGTTCTACGACGGCAACATCACCGAACGCCCTGGTGGCTACCACGACTATGGGCATTGTCACCCCCGATATTCACCTCCAGGTTGCAGAACCTTCACCCTCCCCGATGTCCAAAGGCGACTGTCGACCAGCCTCAATGCTCTGCACGTCCTGCCAGCAACGACCACCATCGTCCTCGCAGTTTCCCGCAGCTGAAGTTAAAGCCACCAGCCGTCAACCACGGCCAAGCTTCCAAGACGCTGCTACTATGACTGACGCGCTTGAGGACGTGCCCGGTCCGCTTCAGACAAGGCTCACCAGGCATACCATGCCTGCGGTGGAGCAATCTAGGGAGTGTTCGCTAGAGGCAGCCATCAATTATGAAGACCTGCACGCCAACCCTCGTGCGCGGACTACCGGAGGTCATTACACGAGCACAGGTGTCCCGTCCAATACTCGGGACGAGCCCACGCTGACTGGGTTCCACCACCACCATTCCCCGGAGCCTTTGCCTCCGGACGGCAACAACCAGACGTGTGTCCACAAGGCCAGCTCATGTGTCACAACCGCGACGACGCTCATACCTCATACGTGTCTACCACCCATTACCCTATGTCGGCGACAACAACGTGCTAGGCGTCGCACATTGCGGCAACTTTTGAGCCGCCCTGCTACGCAGTCACGAGTTACAGTTACAGCCCTGAAGACAGCGGAAGCGCCTACTCGGCCTATCCGACGCAATGTCCCACCACTAGTCGTGTACCCGACTACCCACCGTACACTTGGCGGCATTGTTAGGACACGTTCCTGCGTGCGTCGGCACGTCTATCTATACCGGCACGTCAGACCCCGCTCAACTTTGAGGTCTGTGTTGCGTCTATCCCAACGTCAAAACCCGCACTGCCAACTTTCTGCCGACGTTAGCAGCATGACCTCGCGACACACTGTCCACTCTCGGCCTGTCCGACCAGGTCATCCTGAGACCCGCTTGTCGGCAACCACAGCGACCCGGCACTTCCTTCTTCGTTCCTTGCGCTTCTCCCAGAGTCGCCCACCGGAGACGCACTGCTTACCGATGGCCTATAAACGTTGACGACCTGGACTTGCCAATTGAACACTTTATGGATTGTCGTTCATGTATATAGCATTTGTCGCTCTCATTTTTTATATGCCTTCAAATCGCGCAAAGCGCTAGGGGGGGAGCCCTGTAGTGCCACCATCACCATCATCATTTCTCAATCACCGCGCCGCGCCCCTCGCGCAGCTGATGCTAGCTGGAGCTGCGCGAGGATTAGAACAAGCTAGCGCACTTGGTGTGTCGGACGTGGAAAGCCACGCGGCTCCGCTTCAGGCGTGGAATAAAGTGGCGAGAGAACGACACGACCACGTTGGCTGCTGTCCCGTCTTCCTCTCTCGCTACAATGTGACCATACTTCACCCATTCCTGTGGCGTTCCTTCAATCAAACGAGAAGTGATTCGTGAAATCAAGGAGACCAAAATCACAGTCACAGTCAACAAATCACAAAACTCGGCTAGCTGGTGTGAATCCAGTGTCTTTCTTGCACATCCAGTTCTGGATCGATCTATATGTGCTAAAAAATCACTATGGATCCACAGTTGCACAATTTGGAGAGAAATACCAAAATCCCCCCCTGTTGTGTGAGAGGTGTCTGTGGAGCGATCTGAATCACATCACGTGTGATGCGACTTATTCGTCCTCGATTGCATCAATACGCCTTTATGCTGCTAGTCGGGTGTGAACACTCCGCATCTGAAAACTGGAGCATTTTTCATAACCTGCTTTCTTTTCAGACTGCCTGTGATACAGAATTGATACAGTCAGTTGGTAAATTAGTAATGACAAGCTATAAGCAACAATCAAAGCTTTTGACAACCAGGTTGACCTCTGCACACACTCACCAAGGGAAAGGTCGCTGAACACGTAGTAACACTGCTCAGAGAAGGAAAGTTTGTTGACAGTGTGCCGAATGAGGCCCGCCTTGAGTAGCTGGTTAGCATACTTCTTGGCTTCCTTGCGGTCTTGAAAGCCCTGCACGTGTGTTGTGAGCCAGTCTACCACATCCACCCCTGCAACACAAAAGAACGCAAGTCAAGCCACTCCATTACTGTGGAAAACAGGACAGTACATTCATTTTCTTGGTCTCAGCAGAGGGTCCTAGTTTCAATTTCGTTCAATCTGCAAGCTAAAGGCTTCTGCAAATACTGAATTTTAGGTTAAAAGCAAATACGAAACAAAAAGTGACATTTGAATACCGTATTTACTCGCATAATAGACGCACTTTTTTTTCAGAAAATCCGGCTCGAAGTTAGGGCTGCGCCAATTACGCAGGGTAAAATTTTCGAAAAATTTTTCAACTCGGTTCTCGCGCTTTAAATCTGCACACTTGTCAAGTAAAAGGCGACTTTATCGTTTACCAATTAATTCAGCATAAAACAAACATACCTACGTACCTTTTAATGAACAAGCGAGAGCCATCAACTGCACACACACACGTAAAATTTATTTACACAAAAGTCGTAGCTGTTCCTTCTTTTCCCTATTCGGAGTCCGAGTCGGAGATTACACATTCATCCTCGCCGAGCGGGGATTCGTTTTCGGTGTCCGAATCATCCGCACCCCACAACATGTCATCCTCACTCGCATCCAGTGCGTTCGAGATACCCGTGTTCTTGAAGCTTTTCCTGACGACTTCGTCGGAGATCGCCTGCCACGCTTCCACGATCCAAGCGCACAGCATTTCCACAGGCGGCCTCTTAATCTTACCACCTGTAGTCAGCTGATGTTGTCCTCCAGCCATCCAGGTGGTGTACAGCCTTCGAACATTGTCCTTGAAAGGTTTATTCAAGGACACGTCCAAAGGCTGCAGTATCGATGTGAGGCCGCCCGGAATCACTCCCAGATCTGTGCGCAGCTCCTTTAGCTCATCTCGTATGTGGTCTACTAGGTGCCCACGAAAACTGTCCAGGACAAGCATAGACGGCAACAACAGACCACCCGGCCGCCGACCCCAGACTGTTTTCACCCAATCCACCATGAGTTCCGCGCTCATCCAGCCTTTTTCCTGGACTCTGACGTAGATGCCTTGAGGGAATTTTGCCTTTGGGAGCGTCTTACGTTTAAAAATAACGTAAGGCGGTAGCTTACGCCCATCCGCTGTCACCGCCAGCATTACGGTGCATCGTTGTTTATCAGTGCCAGACGTTCTGACGATAACGCTCCGTGCACCTTTCTCCTCCACTGCCGTGTTCCACGGCATATCAAGGCAAAGGGGGGTCTGATCAGCGTTGCCGATCTGGGACAAAATGAAGTCTTTCTGCTGTCGGAGCTTTATAACAAAACTGTGGAAGTCCACCACTTTGTCCTCATATGCTGCGGGCAAGCGCTGGCACAAGGTGGTCCGCCTTCGCAGTGCGAGGCCATGGCGCCGCATGAAACGAGTTGTCCATCCGGAGCTGGCTTTGAACTCTTTTGCTTCGATGCCCTGCGCTTGGGCTATTCTGCGCGCCTCAGTCTCCACAATATCCAACGACACAGCAAAGCCGTCTTGTCGTAGCTCCCGTATATGCCGGACCAGTTGCTCTTCGACGTTCGGATACCTGCCGGTCTTGGCACCGCGGAAAGCCCATCGTGTCTTCTTCGTCGCCTTAAGTTTTTCTTCTTGGTCCCTCCAGTACCGAATACTGGTTTCTCCAACGCCGAAATGCCTGCTTGCAGCCCGGTTGCCGTGCTCCAGCGCGTACTGCACTGCCTTCAGTTTAAACCCAGCCGTGTAGCTCGCGTACTTCCCCATGGTGAAACCAAAGTTCAATACACAACCACAACATACGCACACCGCTTGCAAAATGGCGTTTCTTTCTTTTTCTCTGATGGTGGTGATGGCGATCGAGCCCCCGGCATTGTACACGTGACCTCCAAAAAGCGCGGCGATTTGGGGGGTATCAGTAATTGATAGAACAGCCGTTTTTTTTTTTCCGCTCATGGACGCCTTTTTTTTCAAGTTTTATTTCGACAAACACGTTGGTTAGGTCGTTGCACTTCGAATTTTTTTTATTTGCTCGTCGATTTGCCTTCTTTTTTCTTCAGGGTACGGGGACCGCGTTCCAACTGTACCGCTGGGGGGTAGAATCGTTTCTGATCACGGCCAAGTTCGGGGTGTGCCTATTATGCGCGGAATTAAAAAAAATCGAATTTTCCGCGACCAAACTAGGGGTGCGCCTATTATGCGAGTGCGCCGATTATGCGAGTAAATACGGTAATACCGAATCGAATTCTAATATTGCACATATTACATATCATAAAGAAAATTGTGCATACTTTCACATAATACTTTAAAAGTTGAAACAGGGTCTCTGTCAATGCCATTTTTTTTGGTTCAAAGGACGTGGAAACAACTTTGAATAGTAGCAGGATTTCACTTTTGGTGGAAAGCAAATGATAAGCAGCAAAATACGTTATGCTTTAAAGTCTTGAAGCAAACAAATTTCTACAAATTTCTACACTTAAAACAAAAAAAAAAGCCAGGCCTGCACTGAACACGCAGCACTGTCACAGCGAAAGCCAGAAGAGCAGCCTTTAAGAGCCTTTTTTTTTAACTCTTTGGGTAGCTGTTGCAAGCACACTTATTATTCATTGTGTAATAGGCAGGCATTCACTGCCATCCAACGTAATTTTTCGGAGAAGCATGGTATCTGCGAAACACTTGCAACGAATTTTGTGCGAATCCTGTTTTCCATGCAGTGGCTGACGACGATAAATAATTATGCCTGAAATGGGTATGCGTCATAGTTAAATAGATGATGAAAAACAAGCTTTTGTAATGAGTTGGAGTATTGGACAACCTACTCGTTATGCAATTCACATTGTGTGATGCCTGGTTGTTCCTTTTATGTTCTAAAATGCTTTGGAAATCATATTAATGCGATTCCTTTTCCGACGTCAAGCCTGCCTAAAGCAAGTTTGCAAATGACTCCCAACCCCAGGCACGCCTCAGAGATAGAATACTGGGCTGGCACGCAGTGGACCCGGGTTCGAGTTCCACTAAGTCCTTGGTGTTTTTTATTTTAGTTTTTTTTTCTTATTTCATTAGATAGTGGTTACGGACACGGTGGCAACGGCAGAACACTACGATGCCGCCCGTGACCCATGTTGTGATTTCATAACAGCTTTCGCTGTAAAATTATGAATCGATGAGAGGGCAATATGTTCATTTAAACTTGAAGTGGAGCATCGCGGCAATGCGAATTTCCTTTGAATAAATGCTTTCACGGCTTTGCACTCCTACACCGCAGTGAAACCACATTTACAAAAAGTTATAGTATGAGGACTAATATACATTTATTTGTTCATTTCAAATACTTCGAAATTTTCAATAATTTAAATTTAGGTGAAAGAGAATACGAATACTGTGATACTCGTTCGAATATTTACACAAACCACATAGACCACCAATAAAGGACTGACATGTCGAAATGTCATTTCCCAGAACAGATTTTCACTGGCTTAAAACATGTGCTTTGAGCTATGTAGTAGTACACGGTCGAATTTCTTTATAAGAGACACTAGTGTGCCTACAGTAAAATACGGGTTGATAAGCAAATGCATGTGCGGTACCCTGCTCACTGGAGATCTGATATAAAAGAAAAGAACTGATGCCCAGAACATGCCTCTTATAAAAGGGTTCAACAGTATAACAATGCAAGACTTTATGCAGAAGGGAGACACAGCCTCTACTAGTATTTCACGAGGTGGTAGCAAACGCTGTTTCGATAAAAGGCATTTGTGATATAGGAAATTGCGTAGTCCATTTTAGTTTTCTTTAAATGGCTAATTCTTTCGCTCACCTATAAAGGCCTTCGGGATAGTGATCTTGAGCCACATGCGGTCCCTCACGTCCAGTCCTGAATCGGGAGCTGCCATGGCTTTCACGATTGTCTCCATGTCAGTCTCCACAGTCAGTGGTGGCTCCTGGAGCTGCCCTGTGAAGCATAACATGCTTGGTTACAGTGCAGCTCCACCTAAACACAAAGTATTCTTCGCCCATATAACAGCTGGGAAGGTTTACCTCAAGGTACTGATTAGTGCTAACATTTTTTTCTTCTGTGTTTCCAATGTGCCCAACAATATGAATACATTAAAAATTAGCTCAACTTTTTATGGTAGCTCTGTCTTGGTAGCAAGTGCCAAAAACCTACAAAGTACTAGACACTTCAAAAGCTCACTAACAGTAGAGGCTAAACAATAACAAAAAAAATGCGACACAGTCATGAAGGGTCTCATGACTGCCTTTTTGAAATTTATTTAACAATGCACAAGTATGGGCTACTTGGTAATCTATTGATCCTACTTTACTTCAGAGACAAGGAACGAAGAATCTGACACACAGTGCTTGTGTGTGTTATAATTCTTTGTCCCTTGTCTCTGAAGTTTGCGTTACAATAGCATCAGTTTTAATTATCAACAAGCTTGCCTCTTTACGACAGTGTTTACCAAAGCAATAAAGCTGTATCTGCGTAACAAAGATACTCGACAATAATAGATCACTCTACATTCACTCTGCCACTGACCTCACAATGGCAGAAGATGACTAATCATAGTTATAGCAAATGCAATTATATATGGAGCTCTGCTACCAGCGTCACTTTATTGGCATTTATGTAAAGTCAGAAAGTTGAATTGGGGGTGGGGGGCATTCAGGAAGCAACAAGCCTCGATGGAAATAGCGTATTAACTGCAACACACATTCCAGCAATGGAAAAAGGACAAATTTCTAAAATTATCATTGTGCAATGTTGCTAAAATAAAAATGAGCCATGTTAAATAGCTTAGTGCCAGCACCGATCAGCCCCAGGCACTTACTCTCTGACTCGGGCACCGACGAAGTGACTGACGATGAAGTGGAGGTGAGGGTGGAAACAGATGGTGGCCTCAAAGGCCCGTCGTAAAGCAGCGGTTGACGGAGCGAAGGCCCCGGGGCCAGCGAGAGCCGCGAGTGGCCAATGGCAGAGGAAGAACCGCGTGCAGCCTCTGTATGTGCCACCCAAGCTCCTGGGTCGATGGGGCGCACGGGCTCGGTGCGTGGGATGGTGAAGTAGCCTTTAGGGTTGGGGTCCCAACACTTGGCCACCACCAACTTGATGGGGCTGCGAGGTCACACGACACATGCACTTATCCTATGTGCTTCTAACAATGCTTTGTATTTAACAGCAAAGCTTTACAAAATGTTCGGAATTTCGTGTGACAAACGTAAAATCAATTATGTGGTTCAATGTGTTGCACCTCTTTCATCCTCCTTTCAAAAAGTACCTCACCAGATCCGCACATTTCAAGCAAACGAATGTGGCCCAAATATCAAACAGTAGTGATTGGGTCTTCAAATCATGAAATGCCTGCATGGCATAAAAACGGTTGAAACATCAAACAGAATGCTCTGCAACTTTCTTTTTGTGGGAGCCACACTTCAAGAAAGAGTTGGGGCTATGATGCATTATGTTTATGTAACAGGCACTTGTTCAAATGCTCAGAACTGGCCTGTAGTTCCACACGCGCATGGCCAGACCAGGAAACGTGGACAACTATGACACATGACTGATTCAGCATCCGGAGCACAGTACACAATGCCACCACTCAGAGTGCACTTCGAAGCAAAATAGAAAAAAAAGAAAAGAGGGAAAAGAAAGAAATTTTAGGGTTAATTATGCAAACAAGACATGCACCACTTGCTCTGCCACTTCATTGAACGCAAGTGCACTACTCTGCTTGCTGCAACAATGAGCGACTGTCTACTGCGGGTGTGAAGCTTGCCTCCTGGAGGAACGGTAACAAAATTCTATTTCTTCTAACATGTCCAATAATTAACGTGTTTTAAAAAGTTAGTTTAGTAAGACACTCCTGATATTGCACCTTACGACTTCCAGTAATTAACCAACATTTTGAAATCGGACCTGGGGAGGTGTATTTTAAAGATATTCTACACTACACGCATCAAAACTAAATTTACATTTCTCGCAAAGTATCTTGACATATTAGAGGCAATGCAGCTGTCGAAAGCTAATTAACGTGTTTTAAAAAGTTAGTTTAGTAAGACACTCCTGATATTGCACCTTACGACTTCCAGTAATTAACCAACATTTTGAAATCGGACCTGGGGAGGTGTATTTTAAAGATATTCTACACTACACGCATCAAAACTAAATTTACATTTCTCGCAAAGTATCTTGACATATTAGAGGCAATGCAGCTGTCGAAAGCTCACAGAAGCAACCGTGCACTGAGTAAAGAAGCCAAGGAGGAATATGTAAAAAAGATTCATCAGACATTTGTGCCGAGCGATTTAAACTTGCAAAAAAATAAGAGAGAGAGAGAGGGGGAGGAGAACATAATATGACTGATTATGCAAGGCACTACTTTAAGGGTCATACGGCAACATAGTCATGTGAAGTGGGCTGATTTTTTCACTTGTTTTGAAGGATGGTGACTCACCCAGGTTTTTGCACAGTCTCTCGTAACACCCGCACAGCATCGTCGTTGCTCATGTTCTCAAAGTTGATGTCGTTCACTTGAAGTATCATGTCGCCTGGCTCAATGCGACCATCCAACGCAACAGCACCCCTGCAACAAGTGAACAGACGCTCACTGAGGTCCGACTTAGAGGCAGACCAAAACTGCAGCAAGATGGTTTGAAAAGTATGACAACAGCATAGTCTCAATACTATCATGAATACAGTAACAGGCCATAGGTATGTATGTGTAACCAACTAGCCTCAATACGGGATGTTATTAGAAGTAAGTGTAACAGGCCATAGGTATGTGTAACCAACTAGCCTCAATACGGGATGTTATTAGAAGTAAGTGTAGTGTAAATATAAAAAAAAGAAAAGTGGATGAAAAGATAACTTGCTATAGGCAGGATTCCAATCTGTGACCTTCCAATAACACATCTGATGCTCTACCACTGAGCTACAGTGGCCATTATTACCTCGTCTACTTTATAAGGTATGTATGTACATTTAAACGTGGGTTAGTTCTCATTGAAATTATGTCTAACAAAGAAAACGAGCCTTTAAAATTTACGCTTTCCTTCATCTAGCCCCAGTAGCAGGTCTGCTATCAAAATTCAAGTCGACAGATAATTGAAACTGTACGTCTTGTCTTGGCCAAGTTGTGTATTTGAATGGAGAAGAACTTCAGCAGTTTTTAATACTTACAAACATTCTAAGCTCATTTCCAACAGAACCGACCACTTTTCAGACTGCTTACAAGAAAAATGTTTCACCATTTACGTTGCCTTTTCTTTTCGTGAGTCTCCAAAACTCGTGACAGCATACCACCACTATGGTTTGCACGAGAAAACAACACACCTAAAGCGATGACTTATCTTTGTACTGTGGTGTTTTACTTACAGCGATTGATAGCACGGGCACCAAAACACGATAATTATCTCAACACATCAACACCAACTATACACCAATCATTCAAATATTGTTAATCACCTTAAAGTTGCTAATGCACATACAATGACTTTGGCAGCTGGTGCCTCTTTTTTTGTTATCATATACTGTATGCTGAATTGTATTTACCATATATTGATTAACTACAATGGACCTCTAGCCCCGCCACGGTGGTCTAGTGGCTAAGGCACCCGGCTACTGACCCGCAGGTCGCGGGATCGAATCCCGGCTGCGGCGGCTGCATTTCCGATGGAGGTGCAAATGTTGTAGGCCCGCGTGCTCAGATTTGGGTGCATGTTAAAGAACCCCAGGTGGTCGAAATTTACAGAGCCCTCCACTACGGCGTCTCTCATAATCATATGGTGGTTTTGGGACATAAAACCCCAAATATCAATGAATTACAATGGACCTCTATATAGTACTGTATTGCAAAGTTATGGGGCAGGGAAGTAAGTAGTGAATGACTCGCACAGTTTCACCTTCACCAATGAAGAGCCATCCATTGCGTTGGAAGTTGTACTGTACTCACCCTTTCATGATAGAGCCCACATAGATGCCACCATCTCCACCTTTGTTCGATTGGCCCACTATGCTAATCCCAAGAAAGTTGACCGTATCTGCAAGTATAGCACAGAAACTTAGCACACTTCTGCACAAGGTACACCATCCAGCAAAAGCTTGCAGAATGCAAAATTTTTGACAAAATTGTATTCATGCTTTGTCCAGGAACACAGTTTCTAATCAAGTGTACCAGCCTATTCTTGCAATCTCTACAATTTTTTGCTAGAAATGAAGTGACATGCACTAACAGAACAGCAGTTTGCACTTTTAATGGAGCCCACGTCCCTTAAACTTCTTTGCTGTTGGGTGCACAACCCTCTGCAGACAGTGCCTGAAAACTTGGTACATCCTAAGATGCCAGAAGCATACCAAGACCTAGTTACCGCAGGCTCCCTAAGCACTTGGTATGCTTAGCTAGAAGTCACCTCTATCATTTCATGAAACTACTAGATGAAATTCAGGTGTATTGAATTTTCCTTACACAATGCCCAATGTCTGAAAAAGAAAAAGGGGGGACCTTTTTCATGTATCCATGCGTAAGTGCAGTTCTTCATACTAGTGACACAACATAATAAATGCACATTAATTTCAGTTATAACTATAAATTTTATATATTAAGAAATCAAAGCAATAGCCTAAAGCTCATGCTTACCCAAGTTTAACGTGACAGTGATGATGTTTAACGACAGCGTGCTGTCCGTGATGCTGCTGATTGAAGAAGTCTGAAAACACACGCGATAAAAGTACAATACAGTGAAACACTGTTAATACACACATGCCGGGGACGGCGGCATAACTACGCACTAAACGCACTACACATTAACCACCAGTTACAATGCGCCATCGCCGCCATCGCCGCCAACAAAGGAACAAACTCAGTGCAACGGGAAATATTGCCTAAAATGCCCACCACAAAGCCATTTCTTTATTTTCGCCAACAAAGTGCACAAAAGTTTCGCACTCTCGCACTGATGGTATGCAGTGGCGACGCCAAATGGGCATTTGGAAACTACTGCGGGATACACAGCGTGGTACTTTTGTTCCGTGGTCTGCTTCTAAGCGAAAACTGGCGCGGTTTTCTTTTTTATATGCGGTACAGTTGTAGAGAGCCAGATTGTTTAGTGAGGCTAGTTGCGTGCAGCACTTCGCTCACTTATCGCACACTGTGATTGCCGATCCGCTTGCTGTAGAGTACACCCTCTCCGCTTCAGGCCATGCACAGATGCGGCGAGTAGGGCAATGACGAGCTTTCCACAAGCAATGTGCTCTCCGTGATGCTCTAGCAGTCCTGGCAATGAACCGAAGCGCATTTGGGTTGTCGCTAAATAAAAGCATGCAGCATGGTTACAACAACACCATGCTTGCTATACGGTGCACGTGTTGACATAATGCAGCAAGGCTTCTCGGTGCCCACGACCCACAATGCTTAATTCCATGACAGCGAGCAGTTTATGTTTCTGTAAAACAGTGCACGGTTGAACACGGTCCCGCACAACGAAGCGGCAGCAATCGGTAACCCAGTGCATTCAGGTAGTCGCCTACTAAATGTGTGCAGTAGGCCTCAAGTTATGCTATCCCACACGCGTGCCTGAGCAAATAATCGGGTATGCTTACTGTGCTAAGGCTTTTCGTCGGCGATAAGTCATACCGCCGCGTTTGTCGCTGGTTGCCACCTCACCTTCCTTTTTTTCCCATATGATTATTCACAATGTCATTGCCGCGATCGCACGGTAGTTGCAATAACTTATCGGTTGATCTCCACACTTATCAACATGAGAAAAAACCGTTCCCGGCACATTGTGGCGTCTGCAAGTTCAGCGGCACAGTAAGATTTTGTGGCGCAAAATGTTAATACGGTATGCAGTTAGTATGCACTAACCGGTATACATAAACCGCACATCACGGCTTAAGCGGTCTGCGAATGCATTAGTCTCTATGAGACTTGGTCAGGGATTCGTCACTACTTCGTTTTAACTGTTAGTGTGCTAAAAGCGGGTACAGACAAGCAAGGTTTGACTGTATACGGTAGATTCTTAGTAAACGAAAATCTGTTAAACGGAACTACTGCTTAAACGGAACTACTGCAATGCGTGGTATTGGGCTTGTATTCCGCACCCATGTTCACCTCTCATTAAACAGAACTCCTGTTAAATGGAACATACTTTACCAGTCCCTTCAGGTTCTGTTCACTGAGAGTCTACTGTAATTATGATGGTTATAAAATCAAAACTGAAAGCTGAAGGTTGGTGCTAGTATTACCACATCTTGTGTAACACTGCAGCGTTCATCATTGGCGCAACCGTGATGAATGGTGCAGGGTAATGTACACTGGAAGCGAGTGTTGCCTAACGAGATCGTCGCAAGTGATTGTCGCTACTTCAAGGAGAAAAAAAAGGCATATGCAGGCCGGGCCCTGTGCAAGGCGACACATTGCTCAGTAGTTCCCGATTCAAGACAGCTGCGTCTAGCATGGTGTCGAGGAAGCGCAAGCCCTTGCACTACTGGAGCACTACTTGGGACAGTGTGGCGAGTGAAACGGTTAGCAATTGTTCCATGATGTGCGTTTTTCAGTGGCAGCTTGCAGCGGAGCATACAGAGCGCAGCGCAGACGACCCTGTGACGTGTGTGTCTGACATAAATCACAACATCAATTGGGAGTTCTCCTTTACTGGTGCCAATGCACCCTTCGCTGAATTCATCCCGATAGACGACAACGTCTCGACTTGCGAGCCGCAAACTGTTGCAGAGATTGTCGCAGAGGCGGTAAGGGCGATGCAGAGAAGGAGGTTGGGAACGAGCACCAGAAGATAGTGGCGAGAACGAAAGAGTGCGCTGACCGGCTAACTTTGCGCAAACCCTTGCTGAACTGGAAGAGTTACAAAGCTTCTCTTGCACACAAAAAAATTAAAATGCGAACAAGGGTCTACAATGTGTGCTGAAGCAGCTTTTCTTGTCAATGGGTGGGAGGCAGCAACAGAAAATTACAATGTTTCTTTCTTTTTAGAGTTCTTTGCCCTTCCATCTCTATATGGACTTCTAAGCCTCAATTTTTGCTGGATTCGAATAGTACGTTTTCCCAGATCGTACGTTTATCTCCCGCATTTTAAGGGCGAAGCTCCTTAGGGCGTGGGCTGTGCGTCCCCTGTAGCCTGTATGTAGCCACCTCTAGTTTAGTTCTTGCAGTGTTCACTAGATGGCGGTACCGTCTCCTTTATGTAGCCACCTCTCGTTTAGTTCTTGTAGTGTTTACTAGATGGTGGTACTTGTAGCTGATGATGAAAAGATGCAAGATGTTATAAACTAGAAAGCGGTACTTGTGGTTGATGAAAGACGCGAGATCTTATAAAATAGGAATGATGTCACATATGGCGCGTGTCATTAGTTGAAGGCAATCGTTCGATTTAGTGCGGCGACGTACGCTAGGGGGAGCGTTGTAATAAAATCCGTTCGCTGTTGGCGCGCGCTCGGAGTCGCCGGATGGATAAGGCTGCACAGCGGAGAGAGCGCAAGGCGGCAGCAGCGCGCGCTCGCAGACAGAATCCCGATGTGCGAGCGCGCGAGGCAAGGGACATCGCAAGCCATCCATCGTCTAAGAACAAATAAAAGTTGATTTGTGTATATACACACACAGTGTTTCTCCCGTCTTTACATGATGATCGACTGGGCGAATTACACGGAAGATTCACAGTTTACCGATGAATCCCTTCGGAGCTTCGCCCATTCATCATCATTCACCCCGTGAATATGCCGTAATTTTTTTTTTATAAACGTATCAATGAGGTTTTACTACACAGATATAAACACACAGACAACTATATATTACAGACGGTAGCTGAACTGCTCCCCCTCTCCTCCCAAAAAGCTGGCTATGACCTAGAGTTCATAGCTTAGTTGATAGGCTGTAGGATGTAGCCCTACATAATCAGTTAATTTATGCAGCACTACTGTGATAGTTTTTTACCAGCATGCAGCACCTTAAATGCCTGAAATCATACAGGCAGACATGCACACATAATGCTGATACAACTTTATACTTAGTGTAAGCAATCATGCACTTATCTAGTCCACTGACAGTCTGTGTGAAGTGTCTCAATTTTGATTCTCCGTATAAGCAAAAATACATTTAATAAATGTATAACCCTGCCTGTGTCTCTCTAAGAATATTTTAAATTATTCTTGACACAAGGCATGAGAACTCCAGTTATGCAAAGTTCTCCATCCTACACACAGCCCCACAAGCATATTTAGTGGCAGGAAATTACTAAATACAGCCCCATAAAAATTTCTAGCAGCAGAAAATTAAACAGCCGACCATATTCAATGAGCCACACAAATCACAGTAAGCAGGCAATATGTCATGTCAAGTTGCGAGATCATCAAACATTCTTCTCACCCGACTCATGGGAGGCATCTTCTTTCGCCGCCTACGCCGGTGCCTTGCATAAATTCGAGACACGCTACTCTCCTCAGTGGTGGTCGAAATCCTGGCAAAGCATAATTCAAGGAAGGTTAAACGCTGAGGTGGAAGAAACATTTTCAGAAGACAAAGCTAAATATGGCTCTAATCAATCTGGCCATATTCAGATATAATTATTATAAAAAGGCATCTATATGTTGCAGCTTCCTATTTAAAAGTGCTGCCTAAAACTTCATCTCTTACTACCCATTGATTTTTAGCGTATTAATCAGAGCAAAGTTTGCAACCTTCGTGACTACAACGCAAGCATGCCAATGCAGCTGTACAAAGCCACCATAAAGTAAATGGCAGCTTGAATACTTTTGTGCTATGATTTACAAGGTTTTTCATAACAGTGTTGGTGCACAATGTCATTACAGCTACAGTTCGAAAAAAAAAACACCACTATTTGCCATTAGACACATACCCCAACAATGCACATATGGATCAACAATCAGTGAACTGTGCTTTATGTTTTTTTCATGGATCTTACGTAAATTGCCAAGAAAATGCATTTAAGCTACTGTACTAAATGCTCCTATGCAGAAAACATTTTCTATATGCCAAAGTATTCAAAGGGACAATAAAGAGGAACAATGACCTGGCTTAGATGGATAAACTGCACTCTTAAAAATTCTGATGCCGTAAGTTTCACCGTCATAAGTTCATTAATAGCAGCGAAAATCAAGGTTGCAGTTCCACTTTTAAATTTCGCGATAAAATCTCCACGTGTGATGTAATAAATTTCAAAATGTATTTTTTGTATTTTAGCGATATTTGCTCCATGAAATTTTCTGAAACTTTGTATGCTAGGTGTCTAGCCCCCACAGATGACAATGTACTTCATTTCTATCAATTAGAAGCATTTTAGAAAGCGGTAAACCCCTTCAAAATTTATGACGTCCTGATGTTTGGTGAGGGATAAGGTGGTGTCTCTACTGACATTTTGTTTTCGTGCATTTTTTTTGCTTACCAAGCATTGTGCCACGGTTAGAGTGGTGTTTTCGGGATTGTGAAATTGTAATTTACTAACATGCAAGAAAATCATTTTGCTCTTCAGTGTCCCTTTAATTCACGTTATTTTGGGTAAATTATTTGAGATAGGAACAAATTAGTACACACAACTTACCGGCTGGTAGTCTCATCCTCAGAGTCTAAGAAGCTTGTGGTTTCTATGTCACTGGTGGTTAGAACCGAGGCTGCCCCTGGCTTAGCTGCTGCATGTCCATTGGAACGGCCGGCTACGAAGAACACAACCAACGCTTTACTTATTTGTTTATCAGCAAGATATAAAGGACCAAACTGGCCAGCCAAGAAAAGTTAAGGACATGCTTAAATGCTATATGAGGACATCTGAAAAGTACGGAGTCAAGCTAGAAGACACCCTGGTATTTGTAGTAACCATTATATGCAAGCTTTAATGACAGAAACGTTCTTGCACAACAGCAAACAATGAAATTGTGGAAAGCAAAGTGATAAAGAAGCTTTATGATCCCCAGATCAGTTTGTTGCAATGACTAGGAATGGGTACACAGCTGTTAATTGTACAAAAAGTCAATTAGGCCCCATATTAAAATAAATTTCAACATTGCAGCCTGTTCCTGAAGAATATGGCCTTAGATTATTACAAATATTACAACACTTGCAACATTATGCAGAAGTTTCAAAGTGCCAAGGCACAAGAAAAAGTGATGGTATATTTGGTTGGCTGCTCCCTTCCTTTGGCTTGGAGTCGCCAGATGCCGAGGCAGGCCGCAATCAGAGTGTGAGAGGCCGTGTAAAAATCGTATACACCTGCGATTTCAGAGCAGTGTGCCAGTAGTGCCACTGTACAGAAAGCGTGAGAAGTCGCCGGGTAAACATTCCTGCACAGCATGGGCAGCAGTATATAGAGGTCCATTGTAATTCATTGATATGTGGAGTTTTATGTCCCAAAACCACCATATGATTATGAGAGACGCCGTAGCGGAGGGCTCCGGAAATTTTGACCACTTGAAGTTCTTTAACGTGCACTCAAATCTGAGCACACGGGCCTACAACATTTCTGCCTGCACTGGAAATGCAGTCGCCACAGCCGGGATTTGATCCAGCGACCTGTGGGTCAGCAGCCGAGTACCTTAGTCATTAGACCACCGCGGCAGGGCTATGGCATAAGAAAGTGAAACTTGATATTTGGCAAAATGACGAATCGTATAACTACAATTCGTAATATTTAGGTATCTTCACGTGCTTAGAAACCCGAAAAATTCAGTGATTACCTTGGTTGTACAACCTTTTGTCCACAAACTATAGAGTAGGTGAATGGCACACCAAGGTTTACAAGTGCTTAAAGGCAGCATCTGGTAATGAGTTGATTTTACATCAGACAAAAGACATGACATGTTTCAGAACAACTAAAGGTGTTATATATGCACTATATTATAAAGTCCAGTGATAAATTCTTGAAATTTCAGGTTGCCGTCTGCAAAAGTATACCAAATAAATACAATGACACATTATGGTGGGTTCATTTAGAAGCTTTGTTCTTTCGGCTACCTACCTTTATCTCGATGACGGCCAGGCCCTCTTTGATGGTGGTGGTGGTGCTCTGTAGGAGTAAATACATGTTATAATTAAATAAAATGAAGTTTTGGGTGACGACCCCAATCTCATTGTATTGCAAAGTAGCTATGATTACATAAATATGTTCCTTCAGAGCATACCCAAATCCAACTACACAACCGTTTCCACATGCCACTGTCATTAAAATGCAACTACTGCTGTGAGGAACAAATGTAAGACTTCAAGTTTGGCAATGCAACCCTGCAGCCACTTGGCTACTGTAGTGAGTTGAGAGGATTAAATTTTGTACTCAATTTCTCAAGGTTATCAACTAATAATAAATCATACATGAATACTTGCACTGAATTCGAGCATGAAAACTGAATTCCAGAATGCAATATTTATCTTTCACTAAGCAACTGAGGTTTTCAAAAAAAAGATGCACATTTTTTTTTCTGCCTAAATAAAAAGGATATCAAAACAATTACACTTACGGTGGAAGCCATATGCCCCACAATACTAATACAGCTTTTCCTAAAAAATACTAGCAACTTCAACATAAACAAACTGTAAGGTAACTAATATATCAAGAACAGAAATGCTTTTATTTTTTAAAACTTGGGAATAAATCAAAGTAAGCCTATATAATGAAATTTAGGATCACCATAGCCTTTTAGGGCGTAACTGAATATCTAGTTACAGCAATGTATTTAAACAAATGCTTTACTTCACTGTACTATGCTCACCTCGCCAAGAGAAGATACGCTGCGCAGGAATCCCACAAAAAACAGTAAGACAGCAGAAACAAATGACATGTGAAGATGCGATACTTACAAGAGCCAGACTAGATGGAGTAGTTCGTGAAGTGACACGAAAAGTAAATAGAACAGCCATAACATAACAGAGAGAAGGAGTAAATAGACGTTTTTGTTTCTGCCTTACATGTTGGAGCTGACAGGAAATTGAAACATGAATTCCCTTATCCAGTTAAATAAGTGTTTTACCTTTGTGGGAGCTAATGGCAGACTCCGACTCAGTAAAGCTGGTCTCTGCTGCATCGCTGCAAGGAATAAGATCAGAAATGTAGGACACTATACAACACTACAAATGTAAAGATTGCACTGAAAAAAAAAAAAACAACATAGTTACTGCTTTTAACAACTCCTAGTTTGAATGACTGTTCTTGCACTAAACAGTGAGAGACGTATCAAATTATTGCTTCTTGTTGATGTTTCAATTAACAGAGACATAGCATATACGAAATTAAAAACTAATGCATAACTTTCACTGATCTCCATAAATAATGGTGTACCATGGGCTCGAGTTATCGCTAACTGCAGGCCTTTTGGTTGTAATTCACAATGTAAAGTAGACATGTGCACTTTGGTAACACTCGCCCTGTTTATCATACCAGTGCATTTTATAGTGGGGAAGCTGCGGTCTAGAGTGATGGAAAAAGAACAAAGAAGACAATCATTCACAGACTGTTTTACTTTACTAGGAGAATTAAACACTATTACATTTGGTTTAATGAGAGTCAGATCCACTCAAAGTAGGGTGCCTGGCCTTTTAAATGCAGTAAAAATTTAATCTGCTAGTAAGTACTGCACCTGAGAACTTCCGACACTGACCCTGACATTCCCAATATTTTCTGGTGTACAATGACACCACACATAAAAAAGCTTTCGCATGCAGCAGCTACAGCTGCACCCGTTCGGAACTTGCTTTGTACTTACACTGCAGCCCTGCCCAGGAAACGTCACAATAACAAAGAGAATCTGCAAGAACCTAATGGTACAAGTATGATAACTAATGTAGTGTTCCTACTTAAAATAACGGAACAGCATTAAAGCTTCAGTATGGAACTGGCGTCCATCTTAATCTGCTTTATTTTTCACTTCATCCTCCTCTTCTTTCCTGCCCCGGCCCTCGCGCTTCTTCATCTTCTGTCCAAAGGCTCATACCGCTTCACCCTTCCCGCTTTCTTTTAATTACCCCTCCTGGGGTAATACTTGAAGACATTCCCAATTGAAGCACATTCAACAGATCCACGTTCACCAGTGTACCAGACAGTCTTCAAAATTCCGTTCTGGGTGGCTGTCTTGGTCACAAAGTAAGGCCCATAAAATTTGGCACTGGAATCTCTTATTCCTTTTCTCACTAGTACGAGGTCGGTGACTTGAATGTCTGGCATGTCTGCTCGATGCCTCTTGTCGAAATTCTTTTTCATTCGTTTTCGGTACCTCTCCTCCTGTGATTTTTGTTGCCTCTCCTCGACAATCTTGAGGTTTTCCAAGAGTCCCAACTCACGGTCTGCCTGCAGAATAGGGGTCTCTCCTGTAGAAGCGTACTGTGGACTGCACCCCAAGCCACTGGTGTAGGATCGGTTATGATGTTTTACGGCTGCTTCTAAAGAACATTTCCATCCCCCAGGAAAACTATCGTACATCTTGATGTATTGTTTCACGTCCCGTATGGCACGTTCTGCAAGCCCATTCGCCGCAGGATGGTATGGCGCACAGAACTTGATCGATACATTGTGATCTCGAGCCCATCTTACTAGCTTTTCACTCTTGAACGCGGGGCCGTTATCGCATACGATTGTCCGCGTAGTTCTAAACATGTCCCTTTCGAGAAGGGTTATGACGCTATTTGCATCTTCTTTTCCTGCTCGTGCCGCGACCATCCTGGTGCATTCATCTATGGCCAGCAGAAAAGCTTGCGTTTTTCTGACTCCTTCCCGTTTCTTGTTAAGTTCGGCGAAATCCAGGTGAACTACTTCAAAAGGCACGTTCGAGTGGCAAGGTAGTATCATGGTGTCCGTAGGCTGTTTATACTTGACTTTGTGTACTTGACACACATGGCATGAACGAACGTACTGACTAACGTCTTTCTTCATGTGAGGCCACGTAAACCTCTTGACCAACTTGTTGTAGGTACGCCAAAAGCCGTCGTGTCCTCCAGATTCTGGGCTATCGTGGTACAAGTAAAGCACTTTGGAAACAAGAGTTGGTGGGACTTGATACCGACCTTCCGTAAAAACCAGTTGTTCTGAGCCTTCCCACAGCTTCACTTCATTGATTTCTTCAGATTTTTCTGTGTTGTTTTGTACCATCAATCTTGATAGAGCATCTGCATCGGTTAAAGCGGTCCTGGTCGGTGCGAGATGGTAAAGTCAAATTGCTGCAAGTAATTCACCCATCTGGCGATACGCCCTTTAGTTTGGGTCATATTCAAGAGATGAGTGAGTGCCTGGTGATCGGTGAACAAAGTGAACTTCGTACCTTCCAGGTACGTGCGGAAGTAGTCAACGGCCTTCAGAACCGCCAGTGCTTCTTTTTCCGTAGTAGTGTAGTTTGTTTCAGACGGCTTGAAAGTGTAACTGTAGTAACCGACTACGTGTCGCTTTTCTCGGCCAGATGCTTCAATACATTTTTGATACAACACTGCACCAGTCCCATAATGTGAGGCGTCAGTGTTCAATTCAAAGGGTAAAGTGAAATCTGGTATACGCAGAACGGGGTCAGAAGAAATTCTGTGCACCAAGTCACGGTAGACTCTCTCACATTCGTCACTCCATTCAAAGGGAACTTCTTTCTGCGTTAAGCGCGTGAGGCATCTAGTTTTGACAGCAAAGTCCTTTATGAAAGATCGGAAATGTCCTGCCAATCCCAAAAACACACGCAGTGAATGGACGTCATATGGTTTCTTCAACTGGGAGATCTTCTCGACGGACTCTTGTTTTGTGCTTTTGGTGTTCCCATCGAAGACTCTTCCAAGAAACACCACTTTTTGTTGAAAGAATACACTCTTCTTAAAATTAACCTTGAGATGTGCCAAGCTCAAGGCGTTTAACACCTGAGACAGATGGTCCTGATGCTCAGCCTCTGTTTTGGAGAAGACTATAATGTCGTCTATGTACACATTACAAAAAACACCAAGGAATGGCTTTAGGACGTCGTTCATGATCTTCTGGAACCACGCTGGCGAGTTTTTCCAACCGAAAGGGAGCCGGTTGTATTCGTAGAGATCGAATGGCGTGATAAAAGCGGTGTACATTTTTGTTTCTTCGGTTAGTGGGATCTGCCAGAAACCTTTGCATAAATCGATGCGGGAAAAATGTCGGCAACCCCCGGTCTCATCTATAATTGTGTCGATCTTCGGCATAGGAAATGGTATGAGTTCTGTCTGACGATTGAGAACCCTGTAGTCGGTGCATAATCTGAAGGTTCCGTCTTCTTTCGGTGCGATCGTTATGGGAGAAGCGAAGGGTGATACCGAAGGTCGTATGATATCAGCATCTAGCATCTCCTGCAACTCTTTCTTGAGCCACATCTTTCGCTCCCTTGACATATTGTAAGGTGCTTTCCGGATGACGGTCTTGTCAGCGAGTTCGAAAGGAACCTTGTGGGACTTCATCGCCTGAGGATAGCTTCCTATGCATACAAGTTCAGGGTAGGTCGTTGCGATATCCGCCGCGCACTTGACAACTCGTAGATTATCTTGTCTACCTTGATTTGTCTCGTTCCTTGCTACTCCTTCTACTAGAACCACATCGTCCCAGTACACGTTGATCTTTAGTTTCTTTATATCTGGTCTTGATAGCAAAAAGTCGTACGTTACCCCCTCTATCACCAACACTTCGCTCTCTATTTGCTGACCCTGGAACTCGATGTTTACCAAGGCCCACTGATCATGCAACGTTACTTTTCCATCATAGCCTTGTACTCGTAGAATTCTTCCACTATGCAAGCGATTTGCATCCACCAGCTTGGCATTTATAATGGACACAGAAGCACCGCTGTCTACCAGAGCCATCATATGTTTGTTTCCTACTTTGACGGGAATGTGAAGTAGGCTAGAGCAACTTAAATAAACAGTCTCATTTGGAGTCATCGGGTGGGACTGATCACCCTCGTTTATTAGTTTTTTTCTGTCGAATACTCCTGAGCTTCAGTGTCGATATTATTCACTCGACCTCTTGGAACACGCCAGGGCAAGTTATCTGTGCGAGTTGCGAGGTGGCTCGGTTCTCGCTGAGCGCGGCTTGACCAGTCCGATTTACTCCGACTGAAACAGCTGCTTGACTCGGCGGTTATGCTTGTTTCCGAAGCTGATGGTATGTTCTGAAGACACGCGAGGAGGTCATCTAGAGTCTTTGGTGACAGTATTTGCACTTGCTTCAACACGTTAGTGTGCAATCCATGCATTATTAAGGCAACTACGGCCGTAGATGGAAGCAAAGGCTCCGCCAGCTTTAAAAGACGGCGTTTCTCAAAGAAGTACTCGACAAGGCAGCTTTGCTCAGACTTGAAATTAAGCGCCGTGTTCCATCTTTCTACTGGATTGCTTCGGAATGCAGTCAAAAACTTTTTCCTCCACTGGCTCCAAGAGTCGTCACTGTCTTCCAGAATGCATGTTTCATACCACTTTCGCGCAACACCTCTCAAGTAAACGCGCATGTTGGTGATTTTAGCCTCATCAGAGAGCCACTTGTTTTTTCCAGCGGCATATTCGTAGAAATCAAGCCAACTTTCTGGATTTGAAGACACACCGTCGAAAGCATCAGGTTCTACGAAATTAGGTGTCGGTCTCTCAGCATTCAGAGAGCTTATAAGAGATGTCATTATTTGGTTTTGTTGAAGCATCTGTTCCTGTTGCAGCTGAAAAGCTTTCAAAACGAGGCTCACCTCTTCCGTCGAAGATCGTGATCCTGAGTGTTTTCGACGCGCTGGTTCAAGAACTAGGTCGTTGAAGGTCGCCACACGCAAGTTCACTTTCACAGCACCTTTCCGTCGTAGTTCAGTAGTGTCTACGGCTGCCTTTTCCACAACCAGGTTTACGAGTTCTTCCGAGCTGAGCTCACGAGGTAGGTCTACCGCTGCTTCGTCTTGAACTTGGTACTTCGAAAAGATGATCTCCTCGGAGGTCTCGTCTATGAAGAACGTCACCCACATGATGGCTTCGATGGCCGGCTGCGCCAAAATAATGTAGTGTTCCTACTTAAAATAACGGAACAGCATTAAAGCTTCAGTATGGAACTGGCGTCCATCTTAATCTGCTTTATTTTTCACTTCATCCTCCTCTTCTTTCCTGCCCCGGCCCTCGCGCTTCTTCATCTTCTGTCCAAAGGCTCATACCGCTTCAACTAATAATAAGCTCACTGTTGTATGTAGCAGTGAGTTGACGTTCAGGCTTATTGCATGTATTATCTGGAGCTCCTGTAACAGCATTCATTCATTGAGCAATAACAAATGCCAGTGAAATGAGAAGTTACTCACGGAAATGGGCGTGGCCGGTGTGTTTCAGTTCCTTCAGACACAAACGCTGCTCCCATCTGCTGACACAAGCTGAAAGATTATAGGGCACACAGTGTTAGCCATGATATTATTGCCTAAATCAGTGCTACAGTTTATAATACACCAAGTTGTCCCCATGTCATTGCCTGTAGCGCAGAGAGCACACAACCCCAGGAAAACTCGCGCCATACGTACTTAAGCTGCTTTGTTGAACGAATAAAAAATTTCAAGTCACTTCACTACGCCACGTCTCACCTTTTAATGATATTTTAACCAAAGCCCTTTTGACACATTAATGTCGAAAATTAAGAAAGTGTAATGGCCACCCCCATTTTAATACTGGTGCCTAAGGGACAAGCAGTGATATTGCATTAATTACATGGACGTGTATGCAGATAATCATTCTTCTTTAACTTAATGTCCAGTAGTGACGCTGCTTCATCTTCTTCACTATAGTGTCAAACCATTGCGTGCCTATTGCCTGAAAGTCTAAAAGTGAGTCTCCATTCTTACCCGTTCAGAGAAATTACAGAACTGGTTAAGAAGGGGCCATTTATGGTAATGAGCCAACTAGCCATTTAGGTCATGAGAAAAAACTCCCGCTAAAAAGCATGTTGATATGCCCTGTGAACTCGGTCAGGAAGTTCGGTTCAGTATCCCAAGACCTAAACGCTGTGAGAACAATTGACCCTTTACATATTTAGACATTGAAACGGTAACATATCTGTGATCAACCTTGCACACACCACACACAAAAACAAGAAAAGCGTCACGAAAGGGGCAGTAATTAACTGTTGCGCTCACTCTACTGCATATATAAGTACAGTCCAGAACCTAAACATCAAAAAACAGCAGCACAATGCATTTACTGGCACAGTTGATTACAGAGCATGTGTGTTTTTATAGCATGCACATTAAAAGCATTATTACAAGGCACTGGAATGATTATAGATGAATACCAATGAAAGTAATTGTAGGAGGACGCACATAGCTTCAATGACACAGAAACTTGTGACTATTACAGTTTACTAGCTACAATGGAGCTTGTAGATTAAACACTGAGGAGCTTCAGCTGTTACAGACAGTGCATTTTTTGCAGGAGTACAAAGTACAAACACCAGAAGCATCCAGCATATTTGAAGCTAAGTTAACCAACACTATGGCTAAGTAACATGAAGGCCTTTAAATGAATTCATTTTGTTCATTTTGATTATCTAGTATTCAAAAGCAGATGAACGATTTGGGACAAGAAGAGGAGTTCGCTCACCCATGAGACCACAGGACCATTGAAACAAGGCAATCGGCAGTCATCTTCAACAATTTCTTCCTTTTACAACCCTGTGCAAACAAGAAAATAACACAGATCTGAAGGATTCGCACAGCTAAGCAAAGTGTAATTTCAACCATGTGCAAAACAGACTACATTTTTAACCCGTGTATCAAATCCGATTGAGTCGCAAGTGCAAATATTTCAGTGACAAAGCAAATATCGATATATTGAAATCGTTCCTAAACTTCTAACATTTCTGCCTAACTGAATAAAGTGAAAGGCCCAACAAAAAAGGGATACACTCGGAAAGGCAGGCCATGATTACTTCATGCTATGTGTTAAAAAAAAAAGGCTGTTGCATTTTTTTTAAGTGCCCACTCAGAAATTTTAACAGGAGATAGAATGGAAACCAGGTCTCCCACAACAGTACTGTTGTTTGCACAGCTCAACATTTCAGTGCTCACTGTTCTTTCAAAACTGCACGTTCCAAAAAAGAAAAATATAGGGAGCACCGAGAATGCAGTTTAGCTTGGGCTATTACAGTTTACAGTTACAATATACATAAGTCTTTTACATCAGTTATAGCAGTGCATATGAAGAAGAGATACCACTACAGTAGTTTTAAAAGCATCATTTAAATTTACTGCTCAGATCATCACTGGCCAGTCCTATATTGTTACATGAAAAATAATGGCACCATTACGAATGAGAGACGCTTTTTCCACTTCACAGGATACAGGAACAGCAGCACCACATGAAATACAGCCTAAGACTTTACCTAATAAAACCGATATTACAAAATTCCTGTAATAACATGTGACTTTCCATTCCCCAGCAGATATACATTAACTTCAATGTTGTTATCAACTTGAATTAATTAAAACAATGATAACACTGAACTAATCTAACAAAGTTTTTACAGAAATATATTAGTAAAAAGCAGCAATATGTTTTTTCTAATTTTCGTAGAGACAGCGTTCTTCAGGAGTGCACAATAACGTGCTGAAACATCTAGCCGCCCTAGCCTAAAGTTTTATTTTGACGAGGCTGGCACCATGCCCATGCAAGGAACAGCTGACTAACAGTGAGCAGTTTTTTTTACGTACCAATTTACAAAGGGTTGGTGGTGGATTATTGCCCTGCAAATGCACCCACAAGAATATGGTGGTTGTTTTTCTTTTTGATGCGATGATTTGTGTGACAGATGGTACTGATCACCTCCTTACAACTTTCTTACCCTGCCTGATCGCACAGTCACTGCATCGACCTACCATCCTTTCATATCGGCGGCTTGTCATAGCTTTACGTGATGGTACCCTCTGCCGCACATGGGTGGCTCCATGTCCCGTGTGCCTTCGCAGACTTTTCAGACAGGCAGGCATGTGATAGCGGCAAATAAAATGTCCTACATTACAATTTTACATTCTGAAGGACCGAAAGATCGCCTTCTCAATTTTACAAACTTTCCAATTTAAAGGGGTCCTGCAACACATTTCCAAGTGACCGTGAAATGGCTTCATTAAAGGAGTTTACTACCTCAAGAATCGACCATTGCAAAAATGTTTAGGAACTGTCAAGTATCAGCACAGTTCGGATTTTTCACATGCTGTAATTGCTTTCTCTTTTCTTGTCCTACCGAAGTAAAGAAACTGTATGGCACGGTAAGAGTATATCAAAAAGCAGCTTTTCACAAGATTTGCCCGAACACATTAAGCCTCCTTTTTCTCTTTCGATATGCACATAGTTGATGCAGTGTTTTGTGAACCTATACCAGTGGCACACGGGCAGTTTTGATCGCGATCCGGGCTGATTGATATAGGTCTTGGTCACGATCAAAAATGATCACTGCTAAGCGGAGCGGTAAAAACTAATCGGCATTGAGTTTGCCGCAAACGCTCAACAAATCGCGATCTGGAAGCCAGATCGAAATTGTCATGATCCCGAACGCGCAACGGTAAGTGAGCGGGCTTTCGATCCGGACCGGCCGTGAGGTTCAAGACTCATGTACTGCAGCAAACTACATGCTGATCGCAAATGAAGTGCTCGTGTGACACCGGTATCGATACAAACTAGCTTGGGACCATGTAGCAGCGACCACTGACGATCGAGATCGAGAAATTCGATCAGGACGAGCCCTGATCACGATCAGAAGTGTCCGTGCGTCACTGGTATCGGTTCGGCGCTGACGATAGCCAGACACTGCACGCAGATTTGCGATTAATGTGACCTTGTAGTACTAACCTCATTCAGATCGCGCCTAATTCTGATCGACTCTGATCACGATTCGGTGTCTGCGTGAACGACGGTACAAAGCAGGAAATAATACCTAACTTTGCGGATGTATCATCTGTCAAAAAGCTGTAAAGCAACATCGGTACAGACTGGATTGGGCACCGCCAGGAAATAGTCCCCCGAACGAGCTATATCAAATCGCGCGACTTTCGGCTCGTCCCTTTTCCATGTAATTTTGCGGCAATAGATGCCGCAAGAGAACATTTTTGTCAGGAAGGCTGTCTGAGTAAAGTCTGTAACTTGCTCGGCTTTCTAACTTCGATGTGTCAAGGCGCGCATAGCTGCGACTCGCGCGAAGGAAAGCACCGATGTCCGTGACGGCGTCAGTGCAGACAACACAGGCGGGCCGTCATACTCGCGGATCTGTGAGCGGCAGGTGCTCACGTGCACTGCACAAACAGTGCACGCGTGCTTTTCCTCTTCTTTAAAATTGGGGAGTCTTTGTTTTGACGGATGTGCGCTAGCTTACCCGAAATCATCGTCCATCGATGAAGAAGAACTTGAATTTGGGCTGTTGAGGACATTCTGAAGTCGGCGAGCGTCACGCGCTCGGGCGGCACGGGCACCTTGACGAGGTACGGGGTCTCCTCGTCGTCGATTGTGGTAGATGATCTTGGTTTCTTCCATTGCGCGATGCGCTAAAGCGGCATTCTGCATGAGCCGCACGCCAATATGGCGATAGCCTCAGTGCCCGGACCTCACAACTCGGCCGTGTGGAGAACCTCCATCCCACTGACCACACCTTCGGGGCGGCCGCACGTCACAGAAAGCACGGCGGTCGCCCTCTCGTCCAACATCAGCTGTGAAACGGAGCACGCATGCGGGATCGCGACGTTCGTCCAACCGAGAGTAGCCGGAGAGCAACAAGCTCGAACGCAACGCACCGCCACGGACCTCGGCCGATCTCCTGCCGAGATCTCCCAGCGTCCGGGTCACCGATGAGTGGAGGAGGGAACGCAAGCTGGAAATCGGAAGGCGCAGACTCCCGGGATTTGCTCAGATTTCCTAAACGATTGCGCTATGATTCAGAATGCAGCTTCAGTGAAGATCCACCATAAATAATCAACACGGCGATCCCCCCGTGCATCGGAGACAGCGGAAGTATCGCCACTTGCCGCAGCCTCCACCAGGGACGTCGCGTACGAAATTGAGCCGCCGTATCGAGAGCGATATGTCCCCGATTCAAAAGATGAGAACTGTCCGTACTGTCAGTAAATGCACTCCATTAATAAGCCATAGAACATACAACCATATTAGAGTGAACCATATTAATTAACAGCACACATGTTTGCGTGTATACTGTGTATAAAGTATAAGTCAATACACATTAAAATGATTACTTTATACTTGTATGCACATTGCAAACAACAATATTACTGCGTGTAATAATTGAGTAAATATTCAGTGGATGCGTAAACGTCATAACACTTGTTACTTTTCTATAAATAAAATAAGGC